GTGACGTCACCTTCGACGAGTCTGTCTCCTTCTACCAACACTTTCCCCACCGAGGTCTCCCGGTTTCCCCTCCTCTATTTCTGGTCTCGGTCGGTTGTCCCCGTTGAGGAGTCGGCTGGCTTTGGTGGCCCAGCGGCATAGTTCTTGCCGCCCGTCTCTCCCCCGGTGTCTCCTCCTCCGCTGTCGCAATCGCCGCCGCCACAGCCGCTGCCGCCGTCGCAGCAGCAGCCGTTCGTGGCCTCTTGGGGTGTTGTTTTTGAGGAGGGTGCTAGTCGTTGGGTTCCAGACGTGGCTTGTCTCGGCGTGCTCGAGGGAGGCACCGGTGGTTTAGAGGGTTCTCGCTCTGGGGGTGCTCGTTCTGAGGGTGCTGGAGTGGAGTGTTCCGGAGGTAGCCGCGGTGCAGCTGGCGGTCCAGGTATCGGCGTCGAGCAGCAGCAGCAGCAATCGCCGCCAGTGTCCGCCCTTCGCCTGCTCGGCCTCTCCTTTCCTGACCACTTGCTTGTGCCCCCCCTGCTGCCTCCTCCCCTTCCTGTCCACGGTCCTGTGTTTCCTCCGCTGGACTCGTCCCTGGCTCGTTTCCCACATCGTTCCCCTCCTGTTACTCCTCCTCTATCTCCTGACTCGACGCCTCCGTCTCACGTCTGGTCTCGCTGTATGTCCCGTGCTCATCCTGCCTCCCCTGTTCAGCGTTCTCACTCTATCTTGATTTGTTCCCAAGCGTCTCGTCTTCCCCTCCTGCCTTCGCCTCCTCCATCGTTGCTCGCTGTCGCGCCTCCCCTTTTGTCTGACTATCTACATTCTACTCGTCCTCTTGTTCCTCGGGTCCTTGCCTCCCTTGTTACCGACCCTTCTGTTCCTCTCTCGCGTCTTGATGCTCTTGTTGCTGCTGTCGCTAACTTCGCCTCTACCTGCCGCCTTGACTACACCACCACTCTGGTCTCTGACCCTATCCCTCCTCTGTCCGTCGGGGGTGCTTCTGCCCTTGGCAGTGACGTCCTAGAGGACATGCAGTACGAGCTTGCTTTCCTGTACGAGGTTGCTTCCCATCTCTGGTCCATGCTGCTAGTCCGTGAGGGTGACCCAGATGCCTTTGACATCCCGACCCTTCGCACTTACGATGAGGTGACCTCGGGATCCTGTACCTCTCAGTGGATAGCTGCCATGGAGCAGGAGATGGCATCCTGGACATCAACCAGCACCTACATGGACACAGTTCCCCCACCTGAGGTGAACGTAGTCAATGGTCAATGGCTCTTCAAGGTGAAGCGCCCTCCTGGAGAGCCGCCCGTCTTCAAGGCACGCTACGTGGCACGAGGCTTCAGTCAGCGCGAGGGGGTGGACTTATTTCAGACCTTCGCCCCGACCCCGAAGATGACTACTCTTCGGGCGCTGCTACACGTAGCAGCACACCATGACTACGAGCTTCACTCCCTAGACTTCTCCACTATTTTTCTTCAGGGCAGCCTACACGAGCAGGTCTACCTTCGTTGTCCTCAGGGCTTTACTGGTACCTTCCCTCCTGGGACCCAGTGTCTCCTCCTGCGCACGATCTACGGCCTGCAATAGGCACCCCGTGAATGGCACAACACACTTTGTGCTATGCTAGCTGACCTGCAGTTCTTTCCGTCCTCTGCAAACCCCTCGCTCTTCGTTCGTGTTGGCCAGACTCCATTCTACATCCTTGTCTACGTAAATGACCTTCTTATCGCTACTGCAGAGCCCAGTGGTCCTTACGCAAAGCTGGTGGGTTGCCTCATGTACCTGATGACTTGCACTTGTCCAGATCTCGCATACCCTCTCAGCATCCTGGCTAACTTTGTGGCCACAGGCAGACACCGACCCCAGCACTGGTCGGCCGCTAAGAGGGTTTTGCGTTATCTTACGAGTATATAGGGCATGGGGCTAGTGCTGGGAGGACGCAGGCCAATGGTCCTTACTGGACACACAGACGCTTCTTCGGCAGACGACGCTGAGACCCTCAGGTCCTCCCAGGGCTACTGCTTTAGCCTTGGTTCAGGTGCCATCTCGTGGAGGTCCACTCACTCCTCATCTGTTGCCCAGTCGAGCAGTGAGGTTGAGATCTACGCCGGTGCCATGGCGGCACAGAAGCTCCGCTTGCTGACGTTCTTGCTCTCCGACTTAGGTGAGCGGCCTAGCTCTTCCCCGATTCTGTATGCTGACAACAGAGCCATAATCCTCCTGTGTCAGGAGCCTTGACTTGAGGGCAGAGCGAAGCACATCCATATGGTACTTCCTCCTAAAAGAGCTCCAACATCATTGCCAGGCCCGCATAGTACACTTGGCCTCCGGTGCCAACGCAGCAGATATCTTTACTGAGGCGCTTGCGTCTAAAGATCATCAGCGGCACTGTTTGCAGCTTGGTCTATTTCCTGTAGACTCTGACTTGCTAGGACCTTGATTGTGTACTCCTCTATATTTATACCTTCCAGACTGGCCTTGTGGCTGTTCTTCTAGTGGCCGGACTAGTAGTGCCGCCCTAGTTTGCTCTTGTCTTGTTCATACACTTCCTGGCTGGTCTTCTGACCCCGGACTAGTAGTGCCGCCCTGAGTTGCTTGTTTCTTGCTCAGCACTACCCCTAATCTAGCCTAGGGGGTGTGTCAACTTATACATACAATATTATGTAGAATTTATGGGCTAGATTGGTGTATGCTCTTAGTGGGTACAACCCCAACACTATATCTCTCCTATACTCACTTGTTTCAATCATTCTAGTTTTCTCACAACACATATACACACACACACGTAGACACATACACACACACATACACACATATAGACACACACATACACACACACATATACACATACACACACATACATAGACACACACACATACATACACACACACATACACACACACACACATACACATATATACACACACACACATACACACACATACACAGAGACACACATACATACATACACAGATACGCACTTACATATATACATACACATACACGTACAGACACACATACTTTCACATATACACATGCACAGACATATACACATATACACATACATACACATACAGACATATACACGCATATACACATACATATATACTCACATATACACATATATAATCCACACATACTCATAAATACGCATACACACACACACACACTTTGGCGTGCGTGCATACACATACGCATACACATACACATACACACACACACATTTACATACACACGCACATGCACACACATACACATACACATATACACACACACACACACATATACATATACACATATACACACATACACATATACACACACATGCACATACACATACACACATACACACAGATATACATACACACATATACATACAAACACACACACACACATATACACATACACATACACACACATATATATATATGCATACACACATACATATACACACATATACAGACACATAGACACAGACACAGACACAGACATACAGACACACATACATATACATACATGTATACACATACACACACACACATATACACACATACACATACACACACACATATATATACACACACACATATATATACATACACAGATACACACACACACACACACAAATACACACATTTTTATACACATACGCACGCACGCACGCGCGGACACGCATACGTAGACGCGCACGCACGAAAATGCATGCATACTTACGTATGCATGCACGCACGAACGCGCACACACACGCACGCGCGCGCGTGCACACACATACACACCCACACACGCATACACACACACACACACACACACACACACACACACACACACACACACACACACACACACATACACACACACACACACACATACACATACACACACACACACATACATACACACACACATACACACACACACACACAGATACACATACATACACACACACACACATACACACACACACACACATATACACACAGACACACACATACACACACACACACACATATATACACACACACATACACACACACACACACGCATACACACACACACATATATATATATATACACACACATACACATATATACACACACAGATACATGCACACACATACACATACACACACACATACAGGCACACACACATACACACACATGTTAAATTATATATGTTAGTATATAATTATAGGCTTGGTAAGCTTACTGAACTTTACTGTAGAGGGTACAACACCCCTCTTTGTATCCCTCTCTCTTCTATTCTGATCCTCTTTTCTCTCCTCAACTTTCTTAGCACCTAAAACCTCTCGCCATTTCCATGGCTCCTCCTAGCTCCTAGCTAAACCTCATGCCATTTTATGGCTTCCTAGCTGAGCTAGTCTTGTGACAATACACACACACACACACACACACACACACACACACACACGCGCGCGCGCGCGCGCGCACGCACGCACGCACGCACGCACGCACGCATGCCCTTTCTATTATGAGAAAGGGCTCCTTGTTTGTAAAAGGAATGACAACACCACACCACACCACCTCATGGTAAAGGATCTGCTAATGGCCTGATGTCGGCTCAGCCACTCGCACCAACCCCGATAAAATGTCGGCACGCGAATGCACGTTCCCGCCAGGGTCATTTGTCGGCTTCCCGTTTCAGAAGCTTCTTGCGCGCTTCTTTCCCCGTGGTTGGCAAATTCGCCGTGCGACCCACGGGAAGTCGTACAGGCGTAGATGCGATCATGCGACGTCGACGACTCGTCGCCGTAAGGAAAGGTCCGTAATGAGGAACAGAAGTCTCGCAGAACTGCCGTGCCTGCGACAGTCACCTGTCCCGCCCCGTGTCCCGCACGCGGAAAATCTTATTCGCGCATCGAGTTACTTTCATTGGCGAAAACCTCGAACATGCTTTCCTTCCAGCGACCTTCCTCCGTCGCGACTCGCAAAAAGGGTATCACCCAACAACCGTCGGAGTGCACAAAAGGGGCAAAACGAGCAGATTTTCAGCAGAGAGCAAATTCACCCAATTCTTTCATCCCGCAACGACCATCCTGATTTTCTTTTGTTTGTGTGAATAGGTCACTGACTCGCCATTACGCTAAAGCAGCAACAGCCAGATTCTTGCGGAGTCCTTCAGCCTCCAGTAGGTGACAACTTGGCTAGTATAAGCACCAGCAAACCACTCATGGATCCTCGTGACTCCTGCTTCTCGTCCCTCGAAGCTGTCAAGGCAGGTTTCGACACCGACACGGAGCATATTATGACGAAGTCCGATGTTGGAAACCGTCATTTGATCCCTGCTAGGGGCCTCTTTCTTCCAACCCAGAGCTTCGGAGGGAATAACGTCTGGAGCACTGTCATTTCCCCTCACGCCTTCAACATCGCGGATCTCGACGATAAGGACGGCAGTGAGAGCGCTAGTAGCATCAGCGACGAGCGCGACGACAGCTACGAATGCAACGAGAGCGACGAACGCGACGAAAGCGACGAGAGCGACGAGTGCGACGGTAGCGACGAGTCGTCGGACGACACCTGCTCCACCGCATCCACCTTCTCCTGCTTCTCGCCTCGATCCGCTTCCGTCGCCAGCGGGGATGGCGATGACTCATCGGACGGCCTTCCGGACGACAGAATCTTGGATGACTCATCGTCGAACTCATCTGACGGCCCCGTGTCTCCCAAGTCCGTGCTTCGGCGACGATCCCCGGCGGAGCTTGATTGGGATTCCGAGGAATCCGCCGGTTTGGAAAGACCTAAAACCCTGAGCCGCGCCGCGTCAATTACTAACCAGGAGATTCGGCTTCCCGACGACCTTTACATACATGGCAGCTCCGCTTCTGCTGATCCAGCCTGCTCGCGTCGCACACCGCCGCCTTTCACGGCTACGATTGTCCGTCACCGCTACTGCAATGCACATACCGCCGCCCCTCCTCCGATTTCCAGCATTCTCGGTCAGCCGAATGGGTTCCCTGCTATCGGCGTGGCCTCTGCGTTTCCCCCTTCGCGCAATGGGTTCTTAGGGTGTGCCCAGATTGTGCCTCAGCAGCAGATGAGCCCGATGTACTGGCAGCAGATGCACCTGAACCAGATGCACCTGAACCAGATGCACCTGAACCAGATGCATCTGAACCGGATGCCCCTGAACCAGATGCACCTGAATCAGATGCGCCTGCAGCAGGCAATGTACCTCCAGCAGCAGCAGCAGCAGCAGCAACAGCAGCAACAGCAGCAACAGTGGCAGTGGATGGAGCAGCAGCACAAGCATTTGCATGCTGCAGTTGAAAGGCCTGCAGAAATCTGCCAGCGTAGGTTTCTTCCCCCACGCTTCCCACAGCCACAAAAGGCTGCAGGTACAGGTGTATATATTCCTGGTAGGGCATGATGGGTTACTTGACGCCTCCCCCCTTGAATGGCTGGATGCTGCTGCTGGTTGCTACATTGTACTCTTTCTGGTACATTGCGTAACCATCAGCAGCATACCAAAGCTCAATAACTTGTGATTGATTTAGTAAATAGCTTGGGGGTATACTTTCCTTAATAGTAGTATGTTTGGACACAGATTCGTGTACCAGAAATAGATACAAGATGTTCAGGAGAGTTTTTGCAGCTCTACATCAGGCCTATCACAAAATCATTATTAGCAATTGTTTCGTTGCAGTAATGAGTATGACATCCCGCCACCGTGGCATGGGCTTTGTGGCTCCTGCGAGGTTGCCACTGGCTGGGAAAGGGAGAATGGCTTCCACGTGGAAGTGAGCCACATGCGCACGGCCAATTTCATCAACACATTTCGTGTCAAACTTAAGGGACTGGTCGCAGCTTGTCGCGAGGCAGCCTCGCGAACGTTTCGCGCATTCAGGGCGCGTCCAAAGTGACATTTTCCTCATTTTAGTTTCCGTTGCAGCTCGGTTTGCGGCATCCTTTTACTGGTTCTGTGCGTTGTTGTTATTTAAATTACTATACATTTAACGAAAAAAACACACTCTGGAGACGCCCTCAAAGTCCCCCGGGCTTCTGCACTTTCGCGAAACTCGTGCAAACCGCAGCCGCTACTTCCTAGACAACTTGAACTCTCGGTCCTAGAGCTCCAGCCCTGGGATCTTCCTCGAGATCTTTCACTCTCTCTAGCCTGCCTTGAAGTCATCTGGACGAAACCCGGGTCGGGTGGTCCTAATCGCCCAGTACCGTACCTTGCATTCCGGAGCTCATTATCCTTCGTTGGCGATCAACAGCGTTGGCCCTGCGCTTCTCTGTCGACCTGCTGCTGTTTCGTCGCGACCTACCGTTGTGGCTCTTGTTACGATCCGCGACTCGCTGACGTGGCGTCATCCTGCCCGATGGCTGCTTCCAGTGTCACGACTTCGCTCCTTGGATCACCCGCTTTCCCCGTGAATCTCACCCCTCCTACCCCCAGCATCCATGCCTCCACTCCTCGCTGCTCAGCGTCGCCCGTCACATCCGCGGCGAGTCTCATATCCCATGATTCCTCGCCCGCTGTAACCTCGTTAAGAGCATATCCGACCGAGTTGGCGTTCAGAAGCAGCAGAATGCATCAGAAAAGCCGCAAGAATCGTCAAGCACCGAAGGCCTCCCGGCGGTTCCGCGAATCTCGCCCAACCGTCGCACGGGCCGCTGCTAACGACGTCGCAGCCGCCGCGAGCGTCGCTGAGGCGTCGCTGGACGAGCGGGTGGAGCTCGGCGCGCTTCACGGGCCTGCAAGGGAGGAAGCGGAAGCGGTGCAAGCTGCCGTCTTTCAGGCAGCGGCGGATCTAGATACCGTAGCAGCAGAGGCTGTAGCGGCTTCCGGGGATGTAGCGGCTTCCGAGGTTTCAGGAGAGGGGGAGAAGCGGGAGGGGGAGGGACAGGGTTTAGGCGGGTCCGCGGATGGTCGGGCGCGGATGAAGCGGTTGCTGCAGTGGGCGCGGGAGCTGCATGGCGGAGCTTCCCCCCCGCCTGCGCTGCGCGCGCGGGAGAATCGTGTCATGGGCTGCGTTGCCCAGGTGTGGCTCCACGTGGATCTCGAGGAAGACACGTCAGCAACCGACGGTTCGGATCTTTCCCGCTTCAGGCTCCGTCTGCAGGCCGATAGCGACTCGGATCTGACACGTGGCATTTGCCAGCTCGTCCTGAGGATCCTCAACGGCCGCAGCGTCAGCGCCGCACTAGCGTTAGATTCTAACGGACCGGCAGTTAAAGCCCTCTCTGCCGCCTTAAAACCCGCTGCAACAGCCGCCGCCGCATCTTCCGCTAAAGCCTCTCCCGCTGTACGCACATCCACCTTCGTGAGCCTCCTCCTCTCCCTGCAAAAACGCGCGCGCGCCCTCGCGGCAACGGCGCTCGGACGGACTCCGTCAGTGGCTCCGTTACCGTCAATCGTGATCGGCCGCGGCGGGTCGATCACCGCTCGCGGGGATTTCGCCGTCACTCAAGCTCAGTACTTAAAGCCGAACGAAGCGGCAGTAGCGGCGCTAGTTAACGAGTTAACTAGCAAGCGCCTAGGCGTTGTGGCGCACTTTTACATGGATGCGGAAGTCCAGGGCGTGCTAGTCGCCGCGCGCAAATCCTGGCCGCACATCAAGATCTCGGATTCGCTGGTGATGGCGGACGGCGCGCTTAAGATGGCGCAGGAGGGGTGTGACAGTATCGCGGTCCTGGGGGTGGATTTCATGGCGGAGAACGTGCGCTGTGTGCTTGAAAAGGGGGGATTCGCGCACGTGCCGGTAGTGCGCATGGCTCCTACCGCGATCGGATGCTCGTTGGCGGACGCGGCGCGGAGCGAGGCGTACGGGAGGTATCTTGCAGAGGCGTCCGCGGTGCCCAAGTCGCTGCATGTGATCTATATTAATACGGCGCTGGATACTAAGGCCGTGGCGCATCATGCGGTGCCTACCATCTCCTGCACCTCCTCCAACGTTGTCCAGACGGTGCTACAGGTATGCCAGACGGTGCTACAGGTATGCCACGTACGAATGTAGGGGTGTCTTACCCTTTGGTGGTGATTTGTGAGCGGACCCAAAGATCAACACTGCATCTTCCGCGAATGCGTTGGATACTAAGGCCGTGCCGCATCATGCGCTGCTTACCTACTGTCTCGTGCACCTCCTCCAACGTTTGAAATGAGTCTATTTCTGAATCGACTCAAAAATAGACTCATTACACACTTACCTACTGTCTCGTGCACCTCCTCCTTCGTTGTCCAAACAATATTGCAGGTGAATTACCCAATCTGGGTGTATATCAGCTACGAAAAGCAACCAGAACCCAAGAACAAGTGGGGTGTTTTACCCTAAATTGAATTGTCACTAACACAAGGGACGTGCTAATGTCTCACACATTCTCCCCCCCCCCCGTACCACCCTCCCCTCCTCGTCATCCCTCCCCCCACCCCGCTGCCCCTTCCCCCCCCTTCCTCCCCGCGTTATTTATCGCGCCAGGCTTTCGCCCAAGTCCAATCCATACCACCATCCCTTCCTTTCCCCGCCCCCCGCCCCCCGCCCCCCATCCCCTTCCCGCCCATTCCCCTTCCCCCCCCACCCCCACCCCCCCCTGATCATCCTCACGTTATCAACAGTCCCAGGCTTTCGCCCAAGCCCCGGACCTGACCCTTTGATACCCCCCTCCCTCCCCCCCTCCCTCTTCCCCCCTCTTCTCCCCCATCCCACCCCCCCCCCCCCCCCCCCCCCCCCCCGCCGCTCGATCATCCTCACGCCAGGCTTTCGCCCAGGTTCCGGACCTGACCCTTTGGTACGGGCCAGACACATACATGGGGGCGAACCTGGTCGAGATGCTTCTGCAGCTCTCCTCCCTACCTGACGAGGAGGTTCGGGCCCTCCACCCGGACCACACCCAAGCCTCCCTCCGCGCCTTACTGCCTCGGATAAGATATTTCCAGGAAGGTGCATGCATAGTGCACGACATGTTTGGACACGAGGTTGTGTCGCGGCTCCGGGCAGCTTACTCCGACGCATTCCACACCGCACATTTCGAGGTTCCCGGAGAAATGTTTGCGCTAGCAATGGAGGCGCGGGCACGCGGCCGGGGCACCGTTGGGTCGACGCAAAACATTCTGGATTTTGTAACTGCCCGGACGAGGGAGGCGCTGGGGAGGGGGTATGAGGGGGAGAGGTTGCAGTTTGTGCTGGGGACAGAAACTGGCATGGTGACTAGCATAGTGCAAGCCGTGCAGGATGAGCTGGCAAAGGCGGAAAGCAGTGCTGATGGTGCTGCTGCTTCCGCTGCTGCTGCTGCTGCTGCTGCTGCTGATGTGGAGGTTGAGATTGTTTTTCCTGTTGATAGCTCTGCTGTTGCCTCTACCAAGGAGGATAGCAGTAGCAGTGGCCGTGACAGCAGCAGCAGTGGCGGAAATGGCAAGCCATTAGGGTCGGTGGCGGCAGCGATGCTACCGGTGGTGCCAGGGGTGAAGGGAGGAGAGGGGTGCTCCGTTACTGGCGGCTGTGCCTCGTGCCCTTACATGAAGGTGAGAGGGGTGGGATGAAAGTGAGAGGGGTGGGATGTGAAAGTGAGAGGAGTGGTATGAAAGTGAGAGGGGTGGGATGTGAAAGTGAGAGGAGTGGTATGAAAGTGAGAGGGGTGGGATGAAAGTGAGAGGGGTGGGATGAAAGTGAGAGGGGTGGGATATGAAAGTGAGAGGAGTGGGATATGAAATTGAGAGGAGTGGGATATGAAAGTGAGAGGGGTGGGATATGAAAGTGAGAGGAGTGGGATATGAAATTGAGAGTGGGATATGAAAGTGAGAGGGGTGGGATATGAAAGTGAGAGGAGTGGGATATGAAAGTGAGAGGGGTGGGAGGAATGAGAGGAGTGGGGGCAGGGGAGTGGGGGGAGGGGAGTGGTATGAGCTATGGCAAGCCAGCAGGGTCGATGGCTGCAGCGATGCTACCGTTGTTGGCAGGGGTGAAATCAGGGGTAGGGCGATACCTTGCTGGGGGCTGTGCCTCGTGTCCTTACATGAAGGTGAGAGGCATGGGGGTGATGGGGGGGATGGGAGGAGTGGGAGGAGTGGGAGGAGTGGGAGGAGTGGGAGGAGTGGGAGGGGCGAATGCACGACTGATAGGCTCGCATTGTACCATGTGCCTTCAACTCATGCTGTCATACATCCATCCGTTCTCTCCTGTGCCTGCAGATGGGCTCCCAGAACGCCCTCATGTCGGCCTTTTTTTTTAGGCGCCTCAAAAGTAGACTCCTCATTGTGCCGTGTGCCTTCAACTCATGCTGTCATACATCCATGCATTCTTTCCTGTGCCTGCAGATGGGCTCTCAGAGCGCCCTCATGTTGGTCTGCACATGCTGCGGCGAGACGACACTCTCACATTCATTCCCACAGCATCCTTCTCCAAACCCACAGTCCATGTCGCTCACTGCCATGTCTTCGGACATAGTTCCAGTGAGCGCAGTTAGGAGGACGGTTTTAGCAAGTGAAGCCGGAACTATGTCCGAAGATCCACATCATCCTTCTCCAAACCCACATTCCATGTCTCCCATTGCTATTGCCATGTCTCCCATTGCCATGTGTCTGCAGATGAACTCCCTGGACGCCCTCATGTCAGTCTGCCACATGCTGGGGCAAGACGACGCTCTCACCCACCTAGGGCCGTACGAACCTGACAAGTTTGCCGAGCCTCTCGGTCCGGGCACGGTGGCAGACCTGGGCTACTTGCCGATCCTCCATATGAGGCACTTCCAGGTATGGTTTGATGGCACCTTGAAATACTCATGCGCTACGATCACCACCACCATGCACCCTGTACACCCGACTAAATACGCAAATCTGTTTCTTTCGAGTGTCTTCACATTTCCCTCTGAGCACTCCTCTAGCTCATCATGCTCACACACACATCCTTTCTTCCCCCCCCCCTCCTCTCTTCCCCCCTGTCCCTCCTCGTCCGTCTGTAGAAAACGGGTCGTCTGTCCGATGACCTTGTTGCAGACATCATGACAAGGAACCAGCATCAGCCATCGCAATAAACCATTGCTGTTTTTTTCTCGATCCAAACGAACACAGGTTTTTGAAAAATGTGGTGGAATTGAGAAACAGGAGGATGTTATTGGCTAGTACTGAAGCTTCGCTTTGAGCCGGTTTTTTTTTTTTTTTTTTTTTTTTTTTTTTAATAGTGTATCTATACCTTTTGAGAATAACAGTTGGTCCCTCTGGTTGTTTTTATAACCCCCTAATATTTAAGTGAACTGCATGTATACTTCACCTAATCTATCACCGCATCACACGTTTCATAGTGTCTAATTGATATAACCCAGTGGGTGTAGTACGCAATAATTTCTCCACTGGTGGTAGAGCTGTCTCCAACAACGACGTCATCACGGGGTGGAGTGTGGTGGCAGGAAGTTTCGAACATGGCAGGGAAACCCTTGGCCAACGTGCAATCAGTCCGCTCCCCCGTGTTGCCCCGCGTGGCAGAGGAATCTCGACCAGAACCATTAGATGGAGCCACGTCATTCTAATCAGCGGCAACCAGCATAGGGCGAGGTGATCGCCCCCTGAAATCATGGCCCTCTCGTCTACCTAGAATCTCTCAACCTAGCATAATCGTTTTGAACCAGTCTTAAAAAATTTATAACACACTGCTTGTTCCCCCCTGCCTTCGCTGCTCCGTCCCGCCAAACACGCTTTCATCCTCAAAATCCCCCAATCAATCGCCTTGGCTTTCACACTGGGCAAGCAGGGAATTTTGGTAGTGCACAGTGCAGTGTTCCGTTCAGGCTGTTCCCCGCTACCTTGGAACCAAGCTCATTGGCTTGCGCTTCTGTCTGCCCTGACCTGCTTGTCCCCCCCACAGCCTCAAAACGACGCGCGTCTTCCAAACCTCAATCGTACCTGCTTTTGTGGCTTGGGTTCCCCAGGAAGTCACCTTGCTTCGTCTTTTAGATCGACACATAGCGACAGCGACCAATCTCAGATTCCAGGTGATCCACTCAACGTTTCCCCACCAGCCTCCGAACCTCATTCTTCTATCGAACCTCAATCTTCAGCCCATCAGGGCAGGGGGTAAAATCTCCCCTTGCTTCTCAAGGAAAGCCAGCTCCTCTCTAGCTGATCTAGAAAGAAGCTGGTGCCCCTTCTACTCCATCAGCCTGTTCAATCTTCTGTGATCTAATCCCAAGGTCCATTTGTATCTTCATTTCCTTGGTTCATCTCCCATCTGGTTTCTAGAGCTTGCAGGAGCAGTTTCTTGCAGGGATCTGTCAGATCTGAGCAAGATGGATCTACTACTAATCATATCGAGCGTTCTTCGCGCTGACGTCTCGATTTCTCCGGCCCAGGCTACCTGGTTCGGGTTAGCCGCCGCAGTGGCTGTCGTTGGTGCTACGACATTCGTTCTCTCATCTATCGGCAAGCCCGAGGTGAAAGGCAAGGCCACCACAGAGCTCAGCGGGGGAAAGCTTAAGAAGGATGAAGTGGCTAACGGCTGGACTAACTACGACAAGTACTTCCAACAAAATTCTGGAGAAGGAGTCACAGAAAAGAGCCAGGCTCCTCAATTCGTAGACACGTTCTACAATCTCGTGACGGACATCTACGAATGGGGTTGGGGTCAGAGCTTCCATTTCTCTCCTGCTCTCCCGGGGAAGTCCGATAAGGAGGCCACAATCGCTCACGAGGAGTACATCGCGAGTGTATTGAAGCTAAAGCCTGGAATGAAGGTTCTGGACGCAGGATGCGGAGTCGGCGGACCAATGCGAGCGATCGCGGCAAAGTCCGGCAGCAATGTTGTCGGGGTCACTATTAACGAGTATCAGGTGGAGCGCGCTCAGCAGCACAACGCCCGGAGGGGACTGGACAAGCTATGCACGGTGGTCCAAGGAAACTTCCTTCAGCTCCCATTTGAGGACAACAGCTTCGATGCTGCCTACTCCATTGAGGCTACCTGCCATGCTCCTAAGCTTACCGACGTTTACGGCGAGATTTTCCGCGTGCTGAAACCCGGCCAGCTATACGCGACATACGAGTGGGTGAAGACGCACAAGTACGACCCGGAGAACAAGGAGCACGTTAAGATCATCGACGACATCTGCTACGGAAACGCGCTCCCGGAGCTGCGATCGTACAAGGAGATCGTCGAAGCGGCCGAAGCGGTGGGGTTTGAGGTTGTGGACAATAGAGACGTGGCCGCGCCGCCGGCTCTCCCCTGGTGGAATAGGCTCAAGATGGGCCGTATCGCGTACGCCCGCAATCACGTGCTGGTGAAGATCGTATCGATGCTGAACATTGCGCCGAAGGGGTTGGTGGACGTTCACAACATGCTGACGACGGTCGCCGTGCATCTGACACGTGGAGGGGAGACCGGGATCTTCACTCCCGCGCACCTGCTGGTGGTGCGGAAACCTGCTGCGCCGGCCTCCGCTTAAATTGTATGTACACCTTAATCTGTCTTCCTTTACTCCTTCATGTACTTCATCTCATTCCACGCATTTCGGTTGAAAGAGGTCGCCGTTTCCTGATTTTGTTTTCTCTACTCTTGTCCCCTTCCCCCCCCCGATCAACTCCAGTAGGTTGCTGTGTCCTGTGCCCTCCAGCCTGTTGGTCAGCCTTCAATAAGCCGATGGCCCTCGCACATGCGCTAGCGTATGCTTAGCTCGCGTCGGACGGTTTGTGTGACCCTTGAAACATTTTTTGTTCGCTACATTCTCACGCACTCCATCTCGTAGTTCGCGAGCGAGAGTGTAACGAGTACAAGAGAGGGAACTGTTTCTATGGCCGGACCATGCTGATCCTTAGACGTTCTTTGCTATTAATCTTGTGTGTCTTTGGGATTCTGTGATTCAACGAGCTAAGCAATCACACGAACGATTGTCACAACCTGAGATAACGGTGCTTGAGAATGAACAACCACAACAAAACCATGCCCGATTCCTATACCCCAAACCCGCCGCTCGTCTTTGCTTCATCCACTCACATCCTCTGTAACGCCACCTGCAATTCCTTCTCCACTGAATGTCTTGGCTCCCCCCCCCTCACTTCCCTTCCCCCTTTCTCTCCCTACGTCGACCCCCCTCCGTTTCTCTTGCTACCCGCTTGTTCCTCCCTCACTCACTCCATCCTTCCTCTTGTTCACCGAAAACCCTCAACCCCCCCCCCCCCCCATCTCATTCCCCTGACCCCACTTCCCCATCGTTAACCATCCCTAGCCACGAGCTCTCAGTCCCTCGTCCCTCTCAGTCCCTCAGTCCCTATCTTTGACCATCCCTCGTTTCTCCTCCTCCCCTCACATTTCGTGTCACGTCTTTCCTCCCCCCAATGCTGTTTTCCTCCCTCTCCGCCTCTCCGCCACCACCCTTCCTCCCCACCACCCTTCCTACCTTCTATCGTTCCTCACTCCCTCCCTCCCTCCCTGTATCCCTCCCTTTCTTCCCATCCTTCAATCCCTCCCTGCGACCTCCTTCGTTCCTTCCTTCCGTCCTGTCCTCCCAACCCTTCCCTCTCTGACGTCCCTGCCCTCTGTCCTTGACCCTTCCCTTCCTCTCTTCCTGTCGGCTCCTCCTCCCTCTCCCCGTCTGCTCCTCCTCCCTCTATCCATTCCGTCACTCCGCCGCCCTCAAGCTCCCATCTTACACGGCATGCCCATGGGCTCTTTCTTCTGGGTGTGTGCCCATGGGCTCTCTTCCATCCATGGCCATGTGCTCAGATAACTGCGCGCGATCATTGGTCAGACACTCAAATCTGATGTAGCCTCCAGGGCCCCTGACAGCAGACGAATTCGGTCTGATCGCCTGATAACCAGGCTCGATTTTTTAGGTTCATCTGATTCTCAAGACGTTTTTACTTCGTCTGAGAAATCAAATTGCGCGTAATGGTTCGTCTGACTTTTCAGACAGTGAGAACATTTTCGTCTGAAACAAACAAATGTGCCCACTAGGCCACAAGGCAGCTTGTCTGCCAGATCCGGTCCTTCCCCGTGCCATGCGAAATTATGACATCGCGTGAAGTCGCATCCACGCTGTTGAAAACCACAGGCCCCTAGCTGTCCTCTGACTCAGATCAGAAGCTGCCACGCCGTTGTCTCTTTGCAGGGTGTCAGCACTCCAGCCAGGCACAGCGCAGGACTCAGTGTGGCGTTATTACGTCAGGGCGTTGTCCCTTAGCGTATTGTCGGCGCCCGTGACAGCATTGAGCAAAATGATCCTGGCAGCATTGCACCAGCACATTTCGTCCTCGGCAGGCAAAGATGCAAGGACATGAGTGATGCACCGCGGGCTGCATCCCACACCATGCGTCGAGGCGCACGAAGGTGCTTGGAGGGAGATGAAAGTCCCCCCAGTTTGCCCGCCTAACCCATCATTCCTCCTTTCAAGCGTTCATGCGTAGCACGAGCAGCAACAGCTCCATATGGCTAGCTGCACGATTCTAAGCATGTAGTTTTTGCTCCTCAGCAGCTGTTTCTAGCAAGCGCTATCGTAAGACAGGCCCCATGACGACAGACGCTGCTGGGGTTAGCGCCCCAGCAGCCATACCTAGTTCTTCGCGACAGCCCTCGCCTGCTGCTCCGTCGATCTCGGTGCTGGATCTTCTAGGCCGCAAAACGTGCAGCCAGTCTGCTGCATCACCTGCGCTGTCTACGGTTCCTTCCGGCCCGGAGCCCGCTAGTTTGGCGCCGTCGGTCATTCCACTGACCATGACGACTCCTAGAGTGGCGCTCGCTGCAGCGCCACCCGCGGTAGCGCCTCCTAGTCCACCGCCCATATCGTCGCCGTCTACCATGACTCCACATAGTCCCTCGACTGCTGCTGTGGCGCCTATTTGCTGCGCCTCCGAATCCCCCTCCCGTTGCTTCACCTCCTACCGTGCTGCTTCGCCCCTAATTGCATCTCAGCCTGCCGTGGCTCTTTCGAGTCCATCCTCCGAGGTTACACCCAGCATCCCACTCTTCGATGACCTGCTGCCAGTATGACGTTGAAGAGTGGGTCCGCAGCCCGCTCCGCCCGTCCTCTCCTCGCGTCGCAAGTACGTCGACTGCTGGTGCACCGGCCCTTCTCTTCTCTGCTGGCCGCCCTGTCTTACCCACCAGGTACCCTGGGAAGACGAAGTACAAGCAGCGCAAGCTGACATTCGGAAGGCCGCGATCACCCACCTCCACGCCAACTACTCCACCTGTCGCGCTCACGTCAGATGCTGGACTGTCGACCCCAGATTCACCGGACAACATTGTGGACGACGGTCCATGGCCGCGGACACTGGATGAGCTGCAGCTGAAGTGCAGTGAGTAGTGGCAACGTCACTTCCCCTGGCTCTTCATCTCGGAGACGAAGGAAGGTCGTCCGTGCATGAAGTGCGCCGTCTGCATCGCGCACAGAGAGCCAACGTACCAGTATGGGCGCTATGGGGAGGGCGGCATCGACATTCAGAAGCAGACCATGCGGAAGCACGATCACAGCATCAAGCATGAGGCAGCGATGGCAGCAAAGGCGCATCGGGATGGCAAGATGAAGAAACAGAGGAGTATTGTGGAATTTGAGAACGGGGATGAGGACACACGATGTTTGAAGAGGCTCTTTGCCATTGTGCACTTCATCTGCAAATCTGACGCCCCCATCGCCCTGTTTGTTTCATTGGTTCAGTTCATGGCAGAGCAGGGGACTCCGGACATGCCCCTGAAGGAGAACGGCACGTATTATTCAAGAGTGAGTGTAGTCGAATGACACCCTCTCACTCTGACTTATGTTATTGTCTGGCTTGGCTGTCTTTTTTAAGCTTCAAAATACACGAACTCTGCAGGTACGGTTTCGCCTAGCTGGTCGAAACCATGGTGGCCTACTTGCACGCAAAGCAGTTGAAGCACATCCTGGCAAGCCCGTACCTCGGCATTCAGCTCGACGAGAGTACGGACAGGCGGCGGGGGAAGCATCTCATTGTCTACTTGACTTTCCTACGGGACGAGGAGGTCGTCACCGAGTTTTATGCACACCTCACAGTGGACAAATGCGACGCGGCTTCGCTGCAAGCTATCCTCCTCACGCATCTCGAGGCAACCGGCGTGGACTTCCAGAAGATCTGCGGCATCAGCACGGGCGACGCGAGTGTCATCACGGGCGCGTCGATCGGGCTGGTGGCACGGCTGCAGTCCCGCATCCCGCACCTAGTCTCTTGCCACTGTGTCGCACACAGGTAAGAGCAGAATTATGAGGCACCAAATTAGAAGCATCATGTACATCTTCCAATACAGTCACCCCCTTCTGACTACGCACATGCTTACCTTGTGTGCAGGGAAGCTCTTTCTGCCAAGGATGCGGCAGCCGACTTTCCTGATCTTGCCATTGTTGACAAGGTCGTGAAGTCACTTGCAGAGGTCCTCGGCAGGTCTATTGTCTTGCATTCACGTTTCAAGCAGCTCCAGGATGTCGTCTCAGAGACAAACCTGGAGATGCAGGGAATCCACAACATCAGATGGTTATCCCGAGGTGAGGCCATCCAGAGGCTAGTCGAGGTATTCCCTGCCGCCATCATACTCCTGTCGGAGCATGACCGGCAGGCGTACACCATGGTAATTAGCTTGAAATTCCATTTCCTACTCTACTTCCTTGCCGTTGTCCTCAACGAGCTCAACCTGCTCAACCTGAAGTTTCAGCGCCGCCAGGTAAATGCTACTGCTGGCGGATGTGCGGCTTTATAAATGACTCATTTCTAACATCTCTTTGCTTTTCCTTCAGGTCGACGTCACCCACATCTGCCAAATGGTGGACAACACCTAGCTAACTTTGCGCAGCCGCTACGTCAACTATGACGAGGCCTTCGGTCATGGCAACACTGCCCTAGTGGAGTTCATCAAGAAGCACTCATCATCATCATCATCATCATCATCATCATCATCATCATCATCATCATCATCATCATCATCATCATCATCATCATCATCATCATCATCATCATCATCATCATCATCATCATCATCATCATCATCATCACCATCACCACCATCATCACCATCATTATCACCATCACCATCACGACCACCATCACGACCACCATCACCACCACCATCACCATCACCATCACCACCACCACCACCATCACCATCACCAACATCATCATCATCACCATCACCACCACCGTCACCATCATCATCACCATCACCACCACCATCCCCATCACCATCATCATCACCACCACCACCACTATCACCATCACCATCATCATCATCATCACCATCACCACCACCATCACCATCATCATCACCAGTACCACCACCATCACCATCATCATTATCATCACCATCACCATCATCATCATTATCACCATCACCACCACCATCACCATCATCATCACCATCACCACCACCATCACCATCATCATCACCATCACCACCACCATCACCATCATCATCACCATCACCATCACCACCACCATCAGCATCACCATCACCACCACCACCACCATCATCACCATCACCACCACCATCACCATCACCATCACCATCATCATCATCATCATCATCATCACCATCACCATCACCACCACTTTCACCACCACGATCACCATCACCACCATCATCATCATCATCATCATCATCATCATCATCATCATCATCATCATCATCATCATCATCATCATCACCATCACCATCACCACCACCATCACCATCATCATTTCGCTGTCAATGCAGTGACTTGAGCCGCAACAATTTCGCCGGCTCCCTGCCTGCCGGCCTAAGCAGCCTGCAGCAGCTCACGTACCTGTCGGTGCTGTGTGTGTGGACTTATGTTTTGTGCTGATATCTTTGCTCTGTTGACTTCTGTGTTGTGTTCCTTCTACACCTTAGATTTGCACTCTGTTGCATCTGCCGCTTCCATCCTGCACACGTGCCTGACATGTTGCCTACGTCGCCTCACACTCGTGTGTTGCCTACCTCGCCTCACACTCGTGCATGCACACCCATTGCACTCACAGCTCATCCCTTAACCTCCCTCACCACACTACACTCTCTCCCACCCCCTTTCCACATCCCCCACCCACCAGCAACGTGTCCAGCACATCGCTCGCCTGCCCTCTGGATGCCTCCACCTGTGTGGTCTCCCAGTCGAGTGCCTCTGCCTTCTGCCTCCAGTGCCCCTCCTTCTGCTCCTCGTGCTCTTCTGCTGCTGCAGGTGCGCCGTGCAGGTCAATGGCAGCCAGTGCAGGTTGCCAGTCAATGCAGGTCAATGCCAGCCAATGCAGGTCAATGACAGTCAATGGAGGAGGAGTATGTCAGAAGAGGAAGATGTCAGAGGCAGCAAGAGCAGCCAAGAGGGCAGCCAAGAGAGCAGAAGTAGCAACAGAGTCAGCATTCCAGCAAGCTGCAGCATTGGCCGAAGCAGAAGCGGCAGCTGAGGAGGACCCTGGAGTCGCCTACTGGAGGAGGAAGGCAAAAGGCAAGGCTACTGCGATTGACCTGGATTCTGAGAGTGAAGAGGAGCAGGACAACCCCGTTGCAAGTGATAGTGAAGATGACTGAAGTTCTGTGTCAGCATGATTCTATGCTCGACCGACTGTCAATGACGTGCCATTGAAGTGCTACTGGCTAGTGAAGTGAGTAGATGCTGTCATGTAGTGTCGTTGGGTTACATATTTAATGGTAGATTGATTTCTGACTTGTATCTCTGGCCTAGAGTGTTAGGCTATTTCAGTTATTTTGAAAGATGTAGGAATTATGTCAAAGGATGCGTATGCTAAGCTAATATTCGAACAAATCAGACAGGCCTGTAAGCTTTGTCTTAATAGTCAGACAGCCCTGAAAATTTCGTCTGAAGTCTCAGACTAGAGCCAATTTTCGTCTGATGGTCAGACGGATGCACAAAAGTTGGTCTGAAGATCAGACGCCCCTAAATCCTAGCAAGGACCCCGGTAGCCTCTGTTGGAGTAAACCACATATACGTACGTAGTATACTTCAACAGCCTCTCACTTCTTCCCGCAGTCTCACTGCTGAACTGAGTGGGGCAGAGAGGTCTGAAATGTCGCATCTCTATCACAATGATTTTTATCCTCACCCACGCACGATGTAAGAAATTTCAATAGTAAGCACCAGAATTCCAGAAAGGAAATATATAAAGCCAAGGGCACAATCAAAGTGACCAGGAATTGCTGTACCGTATGTTTCTTGTTGGCACTTGTTTTTTTTTTTTTAGTGTGTTACGCTTTCTAAAAATGTGTATTGTTATAGTGTAGCAAGGGCCAACGCAGCATTCTGTCATTAACTCTCCAGTCCTAACCACTGGGACAAGAAGGGATGTCATCAGGAGGGTTAGGCTCCATATATCCACCTTTCCCGAGGAAAGCCTCCTTAGTACCCTCCCTAGACAGAGAGAGAGGATTGACAGGGTTATCCCAATGCCACGACATGTTCTTCATTTCTAGTTCAACTCATCTGAGTTTCCCTCATTTGAGTTCCAAGTTTTTTTTTGGTGTTCTCGTCCAACCTGGTGAAAACTCAGTCACTTCCACGCTTCAGGGCAGCATGGGCATTACTAACTGACATTTTGCAGCATAACATATCGGCAATGACTCCCGCCAATTCCGCGCCAACTCGCTAGGTGAACAAGCATTCCACTGCCAAGCAGCCGCGCGTGCAGTCAACCGAGGTCCACACGCCGAGCCGCGCCGCGCCGCCCGCTGCCCAGGCGGGCCCCACCGTTTGGCACGTGCCTGCCGAGGAGCTCGCCCCACCCGCCGCTATCCCCGCTTTGACCGCGCAACAGCTCCATGTGCTTTTCACGCTGTTACAGCAACAGGCGCTTGTTACGCTCGCCACTTCTTCCGACAATATCAACGCTGCTACGACTAATTTGGCCAAGAAAAAAGAAATGGCAATGAGTCCTCGCGCCCCAAAGGCCCCGCGCATCGACGACCAGCCCCCAGAGACGCTCCCGACGCCCGCCATCGACATCGAAGACAGCGACGACTCCGACAATGAAGATGTCGAGGCTCCAGTAAACATTGCTTGCCACCACATAATTGCTCCCGTACCCCCTCTTCCCCCCCTCGCCCCAACCACCTTCATGTGCAAGGGCGTACGTGATCAGGCAGAGGTATTCACCGGCATCCAAGCACACCTCAAGCACATCGATTACAAGCTGCAGCACGACGACGTCATCGGCGCGCTCAACAACGTCAAGCACATCGAAATGCTTATCGACAAGCATTTCAAGGTGCTTCAAGTGGCGGACGAAGCCGGGTTCGAAGCGGCCGACCGTTTTCAGCTCTACCAGTCCAAGAGTGTCTTGACTTCACGCTCCTTCAAGCTCGCGGTTGCTGATGTCGCGACACTCAAGCGCGTGCGCACCGGTTACACCCGCGGCGGCCCCCCCCGCGGTCGTGACGGGGAAATGGAAATCAAGGGCTCTCCCCCCCTCACATGCTCGCAGCTACGTTTCAAGGGTGTGTGCTTCTACTGCGGCCAGCCGGGCCACATGGCAAACGCATGCCCCATGGGCGGGCGTGGTGCGTAAGGCCCCTCATCGGTCGTGTGAGCGTTTTTTCTTCAAGGGCGGCGCCCTTTGCCCATATGCAAGTGGCATATGAGGCCGCACCAGTGGGTGCGTGGCCAGTGGCCAGCCCTCGAGCAAGGCAGGGAAACCTAGCGGGTGAGGGCTGCCCTAGGGGATGCGTAGGCCGTGTGCCTAGGACCATGGTAGAACCATGTAATTGTGTTTGTGTGTCCCCACGACAAGTTGATTTCTAGTTGAAAAAAAAAAAAAAAAAAAAAGAATCGGAGTATGCTTGACAAGGAGGCTGGAAAGCCAAGCTAAATGAGAACACATTGAGCAGCCGCCACAATGCATGTAAGGAGGCTCAGAAAAAAAAAAAAAAAAAAAAAAGGAGAGAGAGTACGAGAGGGCGGAGAGGTGGGGACCCACAAACATACCACAGTAAGCCACCCAAGAAAACAGGCGGCCGCGATCAAGCCCACCAAGGACATGGCACAAAAGCATGATGGCAGGAAAGAAGGAGCTGCGGAAGAACGGAGAAAGGGAGAGAGAGAGAGAGAGAGAGAGAGAGAGAGAGAGAGAGAGAGAGAGAGAGAGAGAGAGAGAGAGAGAGAGAGAGAGAGAGAGAGAGCGAGAGAGAGAGAGAGAGAGAGAGAGGGAGAGAGAGAGAGAGAGAGAGAGAGAGAGAGAGAGAGAGAGAGAGAGAGAGAGAGGACCCTCTGGCCCTTAGTATTTAGAGCTCTCTCCCCTTTCATTTCCTTGTTTTAGTTTCCGGTTCTTCTTTTCTCCTTCCCTTGGTGGCGGCTCAGAGAGGGGAGAGAGAGAGAGAGAGCGAGAGAGAGAGAGAGAGAGAGAGAGAGAGAGAGAGAGAGAGAGAGAGAGAGAGAGAGAGAGAGAGAGAGATAGAGGGAGAGAGAGATAGAGAGAGAGAGAGAGAGAGAGAGAGAGAGAGAGAGAGAGCGAGAGAGAGAGAGAGAGAGAGAGAGAGAGAGGGAGAGAGAGAGAGAGAGAGAGAGAGAGAGAGAGAGAGAAAGAGAGAGAGAGAGAGAGAGAGAGAGAGAGAGAGAGAGAGAGAGAGAGAGAGAGAGAGAGAGAGAGAGAGAGAAAGAGAAAGAGAGCGAGAGAGAGAGAGAGAGAAAGAGAGAGAGAGAGAGTGAGAGAAAGAGAGAGAGAGAGAGAGATAGAGAGAGAGAGTGAGAGAAAGAGTGAGAGAGAGAGGGAGGGGTAAGATGGAGAGGGAAAACGAGCATGAAGAGGAAATCACGCACATTGGGAAGGACACGCGGAAGCGTCTCCCAAGATAAGGCGTTGGCCCAGCCATGTGGTAGGCAATAAACGATCATGGGCTGCTCGATTTGGCACCAACACCTTATTGCAATGCCCATCTCCCCTCTTGACCCCAAACGCGGCAGGACCCGAACACGGATGGCAACGCGACCGACATGACCCCTACGGATACGCCGTAACGGACAAGGACGTCATGATCATGCGAAGCCGACTGCGCCAGGCCAGGTGCTTATGGTGCGATAGCAGTTTCATGATTTCTATAATCACCAAAGGGTATTGGCTGCCCTGGAAGCACACAGCCCCGCCCTCCGTCGACGACAAGAACCATGCCGGCGTTCACACGCACCTTGGCTTCACTCGCGGAGCGATTCAAGAACTTGTTGCCACTGGCTTTGCCGTGCCATTCCCTACACGAGACACGCCAACCTGTGTTTGTCCTCTGAACGTCGTCGAGCAGCGCAACAAATGCCGCCTCATTCTCGACCTTCGCAAAGTCATCGCCCGCCTCGAAATTCCAAAGTTCAAGTATGAAAGCTTGAACTGGGTAGCCGAACTCATCCGTTCCGGCGACTGGATGTTTTCCATCGACCTCGTCGAGATGCACCCCTCCTGCTGGAAGTATTTGGGCTTCCAATTTGAGGGCGCGTACTACTCCTTCCGCTCGTTGCCGTTTGGTCTCGCCACGGCCCCCTTAGTTTTCACCCAGCTGATCAAACAGTTGGCAAAGCGGTGGAGGGCCAGTAGCCTATGCGTCGTCCCGTACGTCGACGACCTTCTATTTATTTGCAACTCTCAATCGCACGCGCGCTCTGTCAAGATTATATAAGTTATATATAATTGATAGGCTTGATAGCTATTACTGAACCTTCCTGTAGAGGGTACAATCCCCACCTTGTACTCCTCTCTCTTCCTAATCGAACCCTTCTTTCTCGACATTCTCCCTCCCGCTCCTAGATCTATTTTCCTCACGCCATTCCATGGCGGCATTCCTTGTATCCTAGCTAAGTTAGCGTCCTAAGTTTAAGAGGCTAGTATTATTCCGTTCTGAGACGCTCAGCATGCGCCGCAGTTACCCAAGACCTATAGGCGGCTGGTTTTGTTATCAACGGAAAAAAAATTGCATCTCCACCCCACGCGACTGATCCACTTCCTCAGCTTGGAGGTCGACGCAGCTCGCGACACATTCTCTATCGGTCATGAACGACGAGCTCAGCTCCTAGCCACACTCACCGACATCATCACCCACGGCCAAGCAGGAGGACGAGTCCCCATCCGCTCCCTTGCGCGAGTCACCGGCATGTTGGCCTCCATGACCCTAGCATTGGGCGCCACACCACGAGCCTTCAGCCAGCTCCTGTGACTCATCGCCGATGCCACGTCTTAGCATGACAAAGCACAACTACCTCCGGTCGCATTAACAGAGCTACGCTTCTGGCTTTCGCAGTTCGACCAATTCAATGGCGCCCCATTCCATCCCAGTCACCAATACGACACTGTCATCCACGTTGATGCAAGTGCCCACAGCTGGGGTGCCACCCTCATTCAACTCCCTAGCACACACATCGAGGCCAGCGACCGCATGCCAGAAGAGCTCGTGCCCACCTCCAGCACTCGAAGGGAACTCGAAGGCATCCTTTGGGCACTCCGGACATTCACCGCCCACCTCGTCAAGCGTCACGTGCTGGTTCGCGTCAAAAACCAAGGGGTGGTGTTCATCCTTCGCAAGGGCGGCTCACGCCGCCCCTCACTCACGCTGCTATGTCAAGCGATCATCAGACTATGCTTGGAGAACCGGACACGACTCTCTGTCGAATGGATTTGGAGAGAATTGAATGCCCACGTCGATGAGCTCTCAAAAGTCCAAGACTACGATGACTACTCACTTCAACCCCCCTGGTTCCGGCTCTTGGATCGTCGACTTGGACCTCACTCCATCGATCTTTTTGCCAACGTACGCAATGCCCAGCTGCAGCGATTCTGTTCCAAGATCCCCCATCCTGAGGCAACAGCGATTGACGCTTTCTCACTCAATAGGCAGCACGAGCACGGCTTTGCATTTCCCCTGCCCCACCTCATTCTAGCCACCCTGCCACACGCCCAACGCACACGTGCTGAGCTAACATTGGTCATCCTCGAATGGCCCGGCACATCATGGTGGCCACTCCTCCAGCTAGCACCCCGTGTATGGGAGCCGGAGATAGTAGCCTATATCCCACTCACCCATGGCACCCAATGTCTCCGCACTGGCACATACTCGCTCGCTTTCGCCGGCCAAGGCCTGCCTCATAGCCAGATGATTGCCTTGCATGTAACCTACAAGATATAACTCCTCCATGTATGGTGTATATTTTCAGGCATGCTGTCGAAGTTAAAGACACAATTACTTCGCATAACCACCCACGTCTGGGCGCCCTCCACTATCAAGGCCTATGACCCGTACTGGCAGAAATTTCGCTCATTCTTCGCACAATTCAAGCTCGGCTATCTGCCAGCCACGGACACCACCCTGGCGCTCTATCTTGTTCACGCGCTCAATCAGCAAGCAACCGTCCCTGCCATATCCCTCACATGCTCTGCCGTATTTTTCGCACACTGGATGACCGGCAAACCCTCTCCCACGAACGACCCTTTTACGATACAAGTATGCGAATTTTCCAAACGCCATGGGGCATGCCCCACGAGGACAAAAGGGACCCTTGTCGCTCCACCAAGTCCATACTATGGCCCGTCCCTTCCTCGAATCAACTAACCCAGCCACATACCAGAAGGGTCTCATTCCGCTGCTCATGTTCGCAGCATTCCTACGCTACTCGGATCTCGTCAGCATCCAGTGGAATGACATACAATTTGAGGACGAGGCAATGTGGGTCCTGATCCCACACTCCAAGACGAATCAGGAAAGCAAAGGCACCTGGGTCCCCATCGCCGCCACGACCGGACCCTATTGCCCCATCAGCTGCTCGCGGCGCTTCATTCACGTTGCAGGCCACACTGCCACTCACACGGGCCTCTGATTCGCGTCTTTGGGACCAGAGGCAAGGCCACCCCACGGGACGCCGCACCTTCATACACCATCATTCAGAATTGGTGTCTGGAAGCCTTTGCCGCAGCAGGCCTCGACCCCACCAATCTCAGCACCCACTCTTTCCGCAAGGGCACCGCGACCGCAGCGGCTAGCCTGGGGATACCTGACAGGATTTTCAAGCATCTAGGCCAATGGCACAGCGATAGTGCAAAGGAGCTCTACGTCACTATCGCGCAAGACCACCTTCTTGCAGCCTCCACGCAGCTTCAATATGCATCCGCAGCCCCATCGCCCAACAACCACCAGCCCGTTAAATTATATAGATTGTATATAATTGTAGGCTTGATAGGTGTTACTGAAACCTACTGTAGAGGGTACAACCCCCTCCTTGTATCCCTCTCTCTTCTAATCTCGACCTCTTTTCTCTCGTAAGTTTTGGTCCCTTCCTAAACCCTCTCGCCTACTTTCATGGCCGCCTAGCTTTTCTAGTTCTGATATGGTACCAGAGCAGGTTGCCCCTCACGGGCCTACTCCCCACGCTTCCGCCGCGTACTCGCTCTTCTTTCGTCCCTTCCGTGCCGCCGTGGCGGCCGTGCCAAGCTGCTATGGCGGCTTCGTAGTGCTGCCGTCGCAACCCCGACGCGCTGCCGTGCCAAGCTGCCACGCCGTGGCGAAGTCGTCGTGCTGCCGTGGCAGCGTCGACGTGCCGCCGCGGCATCGACGCCGCGTTGTGGCGGCGTCGTCATGCTTCTGTGGCGGCGTCGACGGGCGGCAGCGGGCCGCACGTCGTTTTAGGCGCCGTTAGCTCGCCCGCACATCAGCCAGCGCCGTGTAAACCACGGCGCCCTGCTGACGCAACGCCAGATCCCCTGCACCACCCCTAGTTCCAGCCGCAGATGCTCAGTTCCCGGTTGTCGCCGGGCCGTGCCATGCGGCCGGGCGTCGCGAGTTTCGCCGTCGCCACCGCATCGCTGCCGCCGTCGCCAACGCTGCCGCCGCAACCGCCACCGCCGTGCCGCCGTCGCCGCCTCCCGTCGTCGATGCTGCCGCCGCCACCGCCGCCGCTGACGCTGTTGCCGCCACTCGCCTCGCACGAGGGATAGCGGCCTCTCCTGCTGCAGGACCTGGGGGGTGCACGGGCTTGGGGGTGTTGGGTGTTGGGTGGGCTTGAGACTACCAAGCCTAGGGGGTGTATTAAATTATATAGGTTATATATTATTGTAGGCTTGATAGGTGTTACTGAAATCTACTGTAGAGGGTACAAACCCCCTCCTTGTATCCCTATCCTTTCTAATCTCGACCTCTTTTCTCTCGTAAGTTTTGGTCCCTTCCTAAACCATCTCGCCTACTTTCATGGCCGCTTAACTTTTCTAGTTCTGATACAGCTGTCCATCGAGCGGCAATGCCGACCCTTCCTCCACATGCCTCAGAAAACCCATATGAAATGAAGCACGCTGCCTTTCAAGAGGACCTAAGCAAGCTTTCACAATATGTAATTTTTTGAAACCGTGTAACGCTTTCTAAAAATGTGTATTGTGATAGTGTAGCAAGGGCCAACGCAGCAAAGGCAGTAGCGAAGCGCACCTAACCCTCTTTTGCATCCAAAAGAGGAACGTGAGGCCTCTCGGCCTCACCCACGTTCTTCATTTCTACTTCAACTCATTTGAGTTTCCCCTGTTGAATTATATATGTTAGTATATAATTGTAGGCTTGGTAGGCATTACTGAAACTTTCTATAGAGGGTACAACACCCCTCCTTGTATCCCTCTCTCTTCTATTCTCGATCTCTTTTCTCTCGTTACTTTCTCTCCTAGCTCCAAAACCCTCACGCCATTCCATGGCTTCCTACCGTTCCTACTAGCCTAGCTTTCGTGACATGGTGTCAAAGCAGGTTGCCCTTCCCGGGCCTGCTGCCCACGCTTCCGCCGCGCACTCCTCTCCCTTTCACGCTGCCATGGCAGCCGCGTCGTGCCGCCGCGGCCATCTCGACGTGTTGCCGTGTCGTCGCGTGCCGTCGGCGTCAAGCCGTGGCGGCGTGACGGCGCCGATGACCTGACGTCGCCGCGTTGACGTACCGCCGCGGCATCGACGTCACGCTTTGGCGGCGTCGTGAGGATGCCGTGGCGGCGTCGTCGGGCTGCAGCCGGCCGCGCGACGCCTGTGGCGCCGCGATGCTGGACCACGCACCGCCCCACCCCACCCCCCCCCCCCCCTCCTCCTTCCCCTGCGTCCCCTCCTCCTCGCCACAACCGACGCTTGACTCGTGGGGGTCCCCATCGTCGTGGAGCTTGGACACGCCGCCGAGAGGGCGAGGGCCGTTGCCGTCGCCGCTGTTATCGAAGCCGTCGTCGCTGTCCTGTTGCCGCCGCACGCCGTCGTCGCCGCCGCTGTCGTCACTGCCGCCGTAGCCATCTCACGGGCCGTGGGGTTGGCCCCGCCGGAGTAGTCGTGGCTGCTGCTTGGAATGGGGGTGCTTGGTTAGGGGGTGTGGGTGTGTGTGGGTTCTTTTATTACCAAGCCTAGGGGGTGTGTTAAATTATATATGTTAGTATTGTCCTGCAACACCTGTCAAATTATTACAAGTATATAATTGTAGGCTTGGTAGGCGTTACCGAAACTTCCTGTAGATGGTACAACACCCCTCCTTGTATCCCTCTCTCTTCTATTCTCGGTCTTTTTTCTCTCGTAACTTTCTCTCCTAGCTCCAAAACCCTCACGCCATTCCATGGCTTCCTACCGCTCCTACTAGCCTAGCTTTCGTGACATCCCCGCCCACCCACCCTAGCTATGTGTTTAGTAGTTGATTGGATGAGAACCAATGTATGCAACCCATATGAAATGAAGCACGATATGAAATGAAGCACACTGTCTTTCAAGAGGACCTAAGCAAGCTTTCACAATATGTGCAGACTGCGAATGCCCTATGTTCCAGTGTTCTCCTCATTCACAAGAGCTCTATAAGGTGAACTTATAAACAATGTCATATTGTTAGGACAAGCTGAAGCTGGATGGATCAGACGATGCATCAATTATTGGCATGCACTAGACAAGATGGCATCAATTACTGGTATGGCTATACTCTAGTGAACACCCCATGTGTTGGCGGCATAATAAGAAACATGTAATATACAGTGCATCCCCGTTATCGGCGTCTGCATATTTTTGCCTCGAATCTCCAGGCCGCGTCAACCCCAGAGCCAAAACACATCGGGAGGCCTGCTGACAAGCACAACCCTGCTGGGTTCCCCTTTGCGGCTTCTGATTGGTTTCAGTTGCTTGTCAGTGGATTCTAGTTCACCTGCTGCAGTTTCAGTTTTCTATCAGTTTACTATCAGTTTACTATCAGTGGACTAATAGAGAGGCACGGCAGTTAGTGTTAGTCTTGTCAGCCTTGGTACAAGATCGATGTAGCGTCTACCTTCGAAGCATAGTAATGTATCATTTCCATCATTCGGTCTAGTTGTCTCGCCTCGACATGGCTGTAGTCACGTGAGAGTCGCGGTAGGGTGTTCATAAGGTCCTGCACATGCGGCATTGCTCGGCCGCATCATAACTAGCCAGCGTCAACACTTCGTTACGATATCGTTAAGCGGTAGACTATATTCGTAAAAGCTCCCTCGAGCAAGCGCTGCTCTCGCCTTCTATGTGGGAAGCGCTGGGCCATGTTTTCCATACCCGCTTGAATAAAGTGAGACCCGAAATGTCATGACGGCCGGTACGATGTACGAAAGACCCCTGAAATGCTCTGCTATTGGAGCGCGAAGGACACTAGAACCGCGTATGCTACTAATAACGCGTACGAAGGTGTCCACGCAGCTGACGAGGCCTAAGCGGTTGCTTCAGCAGCTATTGAAAAAACAGGAGGCGATTTTTCTGGAGCTATCGCCGTTGAATCAGGGCCGCAAGGAGCCATGGGGAGGATAATTCAATTCGGCAAGCCCGGTAGTCTTCGCTGGCGTGCTCTAACTGCTGATAACGACGGACGTGGCGTGTCCACGTGGCACCACATCCCGCTCTACGCCTCCCCAGGAAGCCACGTCAGCAACCACACTGACTCAACAGCTTCGTATTGGTCGACGGTTTCGAGTGGCGCCGCCAACGTGGCTCAGGGGGACTCGTTGGAAGCTTCCAGCTCACCTTTGCTTCACATGGTGGTTACCACGCCACGTGGCTCATGGTTACGGGTGGAGCCCGCAGCTGATGAAGATTTCACTCCTCTCCGGATAGCTGCACGGGATGGGAAGCCGTCTCACTATTCTCATAACGCACCGTTCAATATCGGGTTTCTTCCTCAGACGTGGGTTCAATCCAGCAGCAGCAGCAGCAGAAGCAGTGCGAGCAGCAGTTACGGCAGCAGCAGCAGTTATGCCAGTATTACTACCAGCAGCAGCAGCAGCAGCAGCAGCAGCAAGAACAGGAGCGGTAACATTTCTAGGAGTAGCACCGACGACAGCAACGGCTTTTCAGTAGAGTCAAACAACGATTCCTTCTTCAGTAACATCACAAATCCTACCAGCCCTGCTTTCGGTAACCCTATTACTGGTAACGGAATCTCGCCGTATCAAGCCGTCCAATCAGGAGAGCCCATGCAGGCAGTGGAGATCAGCGGAGCAGCAGCCCTCCCAGGGGATGTTCTTATAGTGAGGGTTCTTGGAGCATTCGCTACAGTGACGGATGCTGCTCCCGATGCTATCTCCTGGAAGCTAGTGACTTGCGCAGTTTCGGAGTTCCATAATACATCCATGGAGCATGAATCTGGTCAGATGCAGGGGCAGGGTGAATGGTCTAGGGGATTCCGGGAGATTAAAGACTCACATGAGTTTGAAGCTAAAGCGCCTGGTGTGGTGGAGAGTGTACGAAATTGGCTACAGCGTTGCGATCAGATTCATCCTGGCGATTCTCCCGTTGCCTTTGAGCTTTCTGGGCAGCTTGCACCCCCGCGAACAGCTTTCAACGCTGCCCGGAATGCTGCCCAAGCATGGGGTGTCATGACTGCGGATGGTCGGGCAGTCAGAGCCGTGCACGTGGCCTTTTCTCGGGCAGGTGGAATGCTCCCTGCTCGCTGGGCAGATGTTGAAAAGATCTGGGAGGCGAGCTACCTGGAGAATCTCAGCTTAGTGTCAATTCCTTTTAGCTGCCCGAACGAGAGAGGTCTAGAAGCGTCATTCTTATCCCCTCTATCAGCATCTTCGACATCATCCCTTCTCTCAGCCAGACCATCACCATCACCACCATCACCATCACCACCACCACCATCACCCTTGCCATCATCCCCAATACCCTATCCTTCCTCCTTCTCCTCCTCTTCCCCTTCCGCCTCACCCCACTTCTACCCCCCTCCTCCCCCAGTACCACTCCCTTCCCACGCACCCCCAACACACCCCACTCCCCGCAGCACAGGCCACAGCCACAAGCACCAGCTCATGTCCAAACTCTTTTCCAAGCTGCCCAGCCCGCACTCCGGGCAGGAGAAAGAAAAGCCCCGCCACGGGCACCAGCAGGGGGAGCAGTCACGTGCAAGGGGCCTGTATCAGGAGAGCCGGTACGTCTCCCTTCCCCATGAGGGAGGCCTCCTCTCCTCCTCGTCGTCCGTTCCATCCACCTCGTCCCATGCCCCCAGGCCTTCCCAAGTATTTCCCCATCCGGAGGGCTCACAGGGGGTTCAGTCAGGGGCTGACACAGCAGCAGTAGAAGGGCCTAGATCAAGTGTTGCTACTGCTGCTGCGGCTGCTGCTGGCGGTGGCGGTGGTGGTGCTGCTGCTGCTGCTGTTGCTGCTGGGAATGGTGGTTCCGGATCCACTTTTTCAGCTGGCCCAAGGGCTGGCAGTCATGCTGCTGGTAACCACACCATGGTTACAGAACTGCTGGGCTCCAGACTTCCCTTCATGGGCTTCTCTAAGAGCTCTCTCCACTCCTCTAAGTTCCTGCGCCCCCCTAGGATGCTTTCCTCTGCCCTGATGCCTGGTAACCCTGGGGCTGGGAAGGCGGGGCGGGGCACTGAGGAAGGGAGGGGAAAGGAGGAGGGAAGGGGCACGGAGGAGGGGAGGCGCAAGGAGGAGAGGGGGAAGCAGAAGGGGAAGGGGAAGAGGGTGGGCTTGGGTGCTGTCGAGTGTGTTGCTGGCCCGCCCGCCTCGGCTCTATCGGGTGTGTGGAGGGAGGAGGAGAGGAACGAAGAGGAGGATGGAAGCAACGAGCAGAATAGAGTGGCGAAAAGAGTTAGTCTGGGTGCAAATAGAGTTAGTCTGGGTGCAGTGGAGTGTGTGGCAGGGCCCCCTGCATCTGCTCTGTCAGGCATATGGAGGGAGGAGGAGAGGCACGAGGAGGAGGTGGGAATGATGAGGGGGAAGGAGAAAGAGGGGCTGTTAGGTGGTTGTGGGAACGGCAATGGGAATGGGGATGGGAACAGGCTGCAAGGGGCAGGAGTACAGAGTAGCACGGATCCAACGGCAGTGACGACTTCAGCTTCAAGTTCAGGAGCTACAGCGGTGGTGGGAGTTGCAGCTCCTAGACTGGTGGGAGTTACAGCACCGGGGGTGGTGGGAGCTATGACGCCTAGAGTGGACGATCCAGGTGCGGAGGAGAGGTTTGAGGTGGGCAGGTTGAGAAAGCAGATGGCTTGTGAGCTGGAGGCAGCGCTGGCGAAGCAAGAGATTATGATGCGGAAGCAGGAGGCGATTCTGAGGGAGGGGAGGCGGCGGGAGGAGCGAGTGAGGAGGGAGAAGCAGAGGAGGGAAGAGAGGACGAAGAGGAGGGAGCAGCAGGGGAGTAGGAAGTGGGAGGAGAGGGAGCGGATGGGAGAAGTGGAGGAGGGGGGAGAGGGGATGGGAGTGGAGGGCGATGGAGGGTGTGGAGATGGGGCGAAAACGAGGGAAGATTCCGGTGCTGAGGCACCTGTTACACCTGCTACACCTGTTACACCTGCTACACCTGTTACACCTGCTACACCTGTTACACCTGCTACACCTGTTACACCTGCTACACCAGTTACATCTGTTACACCTGGTACACCTGCCACACCTGTTACACCTGACACACCTGCTTCGTCTGCTGAAGCTGCTCAGCAGCTTCCATCCCCTTGCTCCTCCTCGCCTCGTCATTTGGCTGGGCTGCCATCACGGGATCAGGGCCAGTCGGCTGTGATGGCTGTGGTGGCTGAGAGGGCTATGATGGCTGGGATGGCTGTGGGCCCACCTGAGCAAGGTCCGGCGCTTCAGCAAGCAGCAGGTGGGGCAGCCGAATTGCGTTGTGCAGAAACTGTTGCACCGTCAGCTGCAGCAGCGACAGTGGCAGCAGAATCATCAGCATTGTTGGGGGCAGTGGCGGCAGTGCCTGTAGCAGCGCCTGCGTCTAGCAGTCCAGATTGTGCCCTTGGTTCTGTGAAAGAGGCAGAGTTTCTTATTGGCGTCCCCCTTTTAAGCCCAGAGCCTGGATTCGCTACAAGCACTGAATTGTGTTCACATGCTGTGAAGGAGACAAGCCCTAGTTCTACTGAAGCGACGTCTGCTGATGTGGCTGATGCTGATGCGGCTGATGCTGATGTGGCTGCTGCCGCTGTGGCTGCTGCTGATGTGGCTGATGCTGCTGTGGCTGATGCTGATGTGGCTGATGCTGATGCGGCTGATGCTGATGTGGCTGATGCTGATGCGGCTGCTGTTGCTGTGGCTGATGCTGCTGTGGCTGATGCTGATGCGGCTGTGGCTGATGCTGCTGTCACGGATGTTGCTCAAGGAAAGGGCGCTGGGAAGAAAGGCACTCAGGCTGCTGCAGTGACTAAAAGGAAGGGTGTGCTTAAAAAGGGGGGCAAGGGGCAGAAGGAGAAGGGCAGGGGCACGGTGAAAGTGGGTACTAAACAGGGCAAGTCGGGCAGAGACGAGAAAGACAGCAGCACCCGTCTCGATGACACAGAGATAGAGACTAGGCTGTTTGGAGTAGCAGCAGAAGCTGACCCCCTAGTGCAGCAACAGCAGTACCAGAAGCAGCAGCAGCAGGAGGTAGAGCATGCAATCGTTGGGCTTGGACAGGGCTTAGAGGTAAGCAACGGGAGTAAGGAGGGTACAGGCAGTATCAGCAGAATCAGCAAAATCAGCAGCGGCGAGAGGATCTGTGCTGCTGCTGGTGGTCAGACCACTGCCACTCCCACAGCAGCTGGTGCTAATGCCACCACTGGCATCGCCCGCATCCAATCGCTGAGCGACAGCTGGCGTGCGAACCGGGAGGAGATGTTCTTCCAGCTGCTGTGCTCCGGAGGGGCGGCGCTGCTGCCCGGGATGGGGGGGGCAGGGAGGGGAGGCGAAAGAGGGCTGCTGCCCGGGGTTGGGGCGCTGCCAGGGGTGGCAGCAGCACCGTTGACTAGTGAATGGCTGCTGCCGGGCATGCCTGTGGTTGAGGGTGCAGGGGGAGCGGTTGGTGGTGATGGGAGAGTGGATTTTGCGGGAGCTGAGAGAGCCGAGGTTGATATTGAGTGGGCTGTGTCTGAGTCGCCAGTGGAGACAGGGTTAGAGAAACAAGGCCCGGTGGTTTCGGCAGTGGAGGCGGGGGGGAGTGGAGAGGGGGGCGGGGAATCGAGGGGTGTGAGAAAGGGACTCAGCACGAGTGGTGGGAAGAGTGAGGGGGGTGGTGGAAGGTACCAGGAAGGGAGTGAGGGGGAAGAGGATGGGGGTGAGAGGGAGAATATGAGTGGGAGTGTGTCTGGGAATGGGGGTGAGGATGGGAGTGGGAGCGATGCTTTCTATGATGCAGTCACCTCATTGGATGAGGCCTTTCCGCCGGCCAGTGTGCTAGAGTGCATTATCGCGGCAGAAGAAGACGAGCCCTTGCCGCCCACTGCCGCTGCCGCTGCTGCTGCCGCTGCATGGATGGTTCCCAGGAGTATCAGCAGCACGAATAGTGTAAGCAGCATGACTGGCAGTGGCAGGAGCACAGGCAGCAGCAGCAGCAGATTCAGCAATGCAGGCAGCAAGAACAGTGTAAGCAGCATCAGGAGCCTGGCTAGCAGCTGTAGGAGCAGCGGCAGTGCTGCCAGCAGCAGAAGCAAGGCTAGCAGTAACACCGGGACGATGAGGAGCACAGATAGCTGCAGCAGCTCCGGTAACCTCCTCCCCCAGAACCACCTTCCCCAGAACCATCTAGCTCCTTCCACAACGGCCTCTGCTGACCAGGACCGCAGCGATTTCTCTTGCTCTCCCCCACACGAGGTGATTTTTGAGTCGACTAAAAAATCTCCCCCACGCGCCTCTCCGCATCTTCGCCCCTCCACACCCCTCTTCCTCAGCCCTTCGCTGCTTCCCCTCTCCAGGGAGGCGCAGAGGGAGCAGCAGCAGCAGCTGTTGGACCGGTTTCTGGATGCCACTCTTAGGTCCCCCATGCTGGGGGGGGAGAGGTGGCTGGAGGGGAGGGAAATGGGGGGGAGGGGAGAAGGAATGGGAAGCAGTGGAGGAGGAGGAGGAGAAGGAGAGAGTGGAGGAGGAGGAATGGGAGAGGAGATGGGTCACGGGGAGGCGGATGTGGGAAAGGGCAAGGGTAGGGTATTGGGAAAAGGCAAGGGGGTGGGTAAAAAGAAAAGCCAGGAGAACAACAAGGAGAGAGATTCTGTTGGTGGTGCTGGTACTCCTGGTTGTGGTGATGGTGAGGCGTCTTACAGTGAACTCTCCGATATTGACAGCCTTCAGTTGGAGGCTCTAAAGGGGGCAGAGGAAGAGCGCACAGCTGCTTCAAGGGACTGCCATGGGTCAACTGGGGAGGCGAAAGGCAAGCAGGCTCAGTCAAAACGAGGAAAAGCGAAGGCCAGGAAGGTAAGGCTCGTATCCAACACCTTGCCATCACGGAATCATAATGTTTCTCTGTCGTGCCATCCTCCCGGCTTGCCGCGTTCGTCCGTGTCCTGTCTGGTCCCTTCCTGGCTCCGTCTGCTGCCCCGACCTGTATCCTGCACTGCGTGGTTGTAGACGTATCCTTTAGCAAACCTCTGTACTGCCCCGTGTGCCTCTGTTTCTGAAGTATTTTGAATCGAACGAAATACGCCTGCCTGTGTCCTGCTTGACCCCTTTAAAAACCTCTTTTCCCTCCCCCTCTCGCCCTCTCGCCCTCTCCCCCTCTCCCCCTCTCGCCCTCTCCCCCTCTCCCCCTCTCCCCCTCTCCCCCCTCCTCCTTCCTCACTCTGAAACCAGGGGCCACTCCAGCTGGAAGTTTCAGACGTCTCCGACCTCTCCTCCTCTTCACCACTCTACTCCTCCTCCCCCCTTGCTATCCACTGTCAACACTCGCCTGGCCCTTCTGCTGGCATTCCTTCCCCCTCTCCCTCCCCTGCTGGAAGCTTGGCTGTTGTTGAGAGGACAGCAGGGGGCAGGCAGCACAGGCAGCAGCAGAAGGCAGCTGCTACACCGAGAAAAAGCGGGAAGCTAAAAAACGTTGCTGCTGGTGCTGGTGCTGGTGCTGGTGCTAGTGCTAGTGCTAGTGCTAATGCTGGTGCTGCTGGTTCTGCTGCAGCTGCTGGTGCTGCTTGTGCTAATGGGGGTATAGGCACGTCTCCCAACTCCAATAGTGCCGATACTGTTGTTAAGTCTGCTTCTTCATCCTCCTCGGCTTCCCGGCACACTCCCAGCCACAACAGCTTCAGCAACAGCAGCAGCACTCCCAGGCGCAGCAGTGTGTTCAACATATTTATGGGCGCACCTGAGGACCGAGAATTCCTCTTCTCCGACACGGCTACGATGGCTGAAACAGTTAAAATGGGTGCGGGGAGATGGGGTGGTGAGGGGGAGGGGGAGAATAGGGAAGAGGAGGAGGAGGCGACAGGAGGGGAGGGGAAGGCAGGTGAGGAGATGAGGAGCAAAACGGAGGTGAGAAAAGAAGAGGGGCGGACACGAGAGGGGATAGCGACTGACATGGGTCTCCTGCAGGCAGAACCACCCATGGCCGCTGCTCCATTGACAGCTCCACCATCTCGTTTTGAGACGTCTGTAGACGTTGTTACTAGCATGGAAGAGGGGATGTTGACCGACAGTGGACTGCTGAAGGCTGGACCACCCACGGCTGCTGCTTTATTGACAGCCCCACCATCTCGTTTTGAGACGTCTGTAGACGTTGTTACTAGCATGGAAGAGGGGATGTTGACCGACAGTGGACTGCTGAAGGCTGGACCACCCACGGCTGCTGCTTTATTGACAGCCCCACCATCTCGTTTTGAGACGTCTCTAGACGTTGTTACTAGCATGGAAGAGGGGATGTTGACCGACAGTGGACTGCTGAAGGCTGGACCACCCACGGCTGCTGCTTTATTGACAGCCCCACCATCTCGTTTTGAGACGTCTCTAGACGTTGTTACTAGCATGGAAGAGGGGATGTTGACCGACAGTGGACTGCTGAAGGCTGGACCACCCACGACTGCTGCTTTATTGACAGCCCCACCATCTCGTTTTGAGACGTCTCTAGACGTTGTTACTAGCATGGAAGAGGGGATGTTGACCGACAGTGGACTGCTACAGGCTGGACCATCCACAGCTGCTGCTCCATCCACAGCTGCTGCTCCATTGATATTCCCGCCACCACCATCCCCACTAGCATTGACAGCAGCTTGCAGGAGTGCGCCTGGCAGCTCGGAAGGGGCTTCAAAGAGAGAGCGAGGGAAGAAGGAGAAGGCAGGCGGCAAGGGCAAGTCACAGGAGAGTGTGCGGCACGAGCGGGCTTTTGAGACTTCTCAAAAACCTATCACAGCCGAGCGGGCAGGAACGCTGCTTGTGTGTGATGATGCGGCAAAGGGAGATCTGGGAGAGTCTGCTTTTGAGTCGACTGGGAAGGAGAATGTGGGGGAAGAGCGGGCAGGAACACTGCTTGTGTGTGGTGGCGATGCAGCAAATGGAGATGAGGGGGAGTGCGCTGACGGATTAAGCAAAGAAGACCAGGGGGAGTGTGGGAAATGCACTGACGAGCAAAGCAAAGAAGACTCGCAAGACGGGGTGGTGGACGGGGTGGTGGACGGGGTGGTGGACGGGGTGGTGGACGGGGTGGTGGACGGGGTGGTGGACGGGGTGGTGGACGGGGTGGTGGACGGGGTGGTGGACGGGGTGGTGGACGGGGTGGTGGACGGGGTGGTGGACGGGGTGGTGGACGGGGTGGTGGACGGGGTGGTGGACGGGGTGGTGGACGGGGTGGTGGACGGGGTGGTGGACGGGGTAGTGGTTGGGCTGGGAGAGGGGGGTGCGGTAGGAAGAGGGTGCGTGGAAGAGGCAGAAGCTGCTGCTGGGTTGAGAGGAAGGGAAGGGGAAGAGAGTCCAGCTTCTGATTCGCTAGAGGACAATGCAATACAAGGCTCTGTCAAAGAGAAAACAGCGAAGAGCATCAAGGAGAAAGGACTCAAGAGCCCACGCAAGGCTAAGAAGCAAAAGGAGAAGGCGGATGGGAAGGTGCCAGGGAAGGCGGAAGGGAGGGTGGGCGGGGCGAAGGTTGGAGAGAAAGCAGCAGGGAAGAAGGGGAGGGCGAATGCAGGGAAGGTGGATGCTGGAGGGAAGACCGCAGCTATTGCTGCAAACACTGCCGCAGGGGAAGGAAAAGTTCAGGGAGAAGACGGGGGTCCAGCAGCAGGGGATGGCATTGGGGGAGTGGCTGGGACTCTCTGCGCACGCGACAGTGAAAACACTGCTGAACCCGAAGGGTTAATTGGTGGAGGGAGTAGCAAGGGGGATGGGGCTGAGAGGCTCCAGGCGAGCAGCAGCGAAGTGAGAGCACTGGCTGCGCTGGTAACTGAGCTGGCTTGTGCACAGTCACAACAGCAAGAGGTGGGGAGACAGGCCGAGCACCAGGAGGAGGCAGAGTCTGCTGCTTCTGCTGCTGCTGCTGCTGCTGCTGCAAAGAGTACTAACACCCGGGCACAAGCAAGGGAGCGGGCAGTGTCATTCCACCCAGATGTGCTTGTGAAGTCGTCTGCAGTGGAGGCGGGGCAGCAGGCAGAGGCTGCTGCTGATGCTGCTGCTGTTGGTGCTACTGGTGGTGATGCGGTTGCTGATGCTGCTGCCAAAGTTTTTGCTGCTGCTGCTGCTTCGCCTGCTACTACTAAGACTTCCAATACCCCACCACGAGCACGGCAGAGGGCAGTGTCCTTCCACCCAGATGTCCTTGTGAAGACATTTGCAGTGGAGGCAGGGCAGCTGAGGCGCAAGGTGGTGCGGAAGAGGCGGCACCGGCAGCAGCTCATCGACGTGCCTGTGGCTGTTGTGGCTGCTGCTGTTGCCGCTGCTGAGGCTGCTGCTGCTGCGATGCAGGCAGCAGCAGCAGCCGCAGCAGCAGCACAGGCAGAGGCAGAGGCAGGAGCAGAGGTAAAGGCACAGGCGCAGGCACTGGCAGAGGCAGAGGCACAGGGACTATCAATAGCAGGAGAGGCAGGAGCAGAGTTTCCAGATGGGCTGGCAAGCGCATCAGTGGCAGCATCTGGTGCTGCTGCGGCTGGAGTGGTTGGAGCGGCTAGACCAACAGTGGCAGCATTGCCAGCACTGCCAGCACCAACAGTAGCACCGCCATCAGCAGCAGCACTAACAGGAACAACAGTGTTGGATGGCACACGGGAGACTGAACAGGCAGGATCATCATCATCGGGGAGTTTCATGGTGTATCAATCCCCAGATGCCATGCCGCATGTCGTGCCACATGCCATGCCACACCCCATGCAGCTAGCCTGGATCCTGCATCAGCTTCCGTTCTTTCAAGCCCAGCTGCTCACCCCTCAGGTGCCTCTGGTTCCACTTCAGGATCCTCTCCAGGTGCCTTTTCTGCCACCCCTTCAGGTGCCGTTTCAGGTGCCTCCTCAGGTGCTTCCTCAGGTGCCCCTTCAGGTGCCCGTTGATGTTCCTCGGCCATGCCTCCAGCCTCTTGGTCAGGTGCCCCTTGAGCTACTCAGGAAAATGCCTGTGGATGTCCGATCACAGTGCCAGGGTGCATCAAGCAACCTGGAATTTCAGACCCTCACAGCAAATTCCGAGTCTCAGTGTGTGTCAGCGGTTTCACCAGGAGCAGAGGAGGGCGGTATGCTGGAAGCTGAGGGGTATGGGCCACAGGGGATGATGGGTGATGATGGGGGAAGAGAGGTGGTTGTGGGAGATGGGGGAAGTGGAGCGGAGGCGGGTGTTGCAAGAGAGACGGAGGGGGGTGATTTGGTCAGGAGAACAGACGACGTGGCTGGGGAGGGGCAGGAAACCCAACAGCAGCAGCTAGGACTGGAGTTAGGGGCAAAGAAAAGAACTAAGGGAAAGCAAAATACGGCAAGAGAAAAGGGCACGCCCAATAAAAATTAAGTACAAGGGTCCAATAAGATGGAGAAATGAGTGCACTATACAGCAGCAAAGATCTGTACAGAAAATAGAGTATCAGATTTGTATTCGTAGGTAGGTTGTAAGGATCAGTACGTATAGTGTGCTGTCTAGTAGAACAACTTCCGAAGTGACATAATGAGCCATCGTCTGCACTAAGACTAAAAATCGTAGGGAAATCGGTCAGGCACAACGGTAGCGGAAGGCCCGCTATAACGGATATTCATTATTGACGTGGAGCCTGTCCCCAGTGACGCCAATCGCTGCTGACGCCCCGTCACCCAGCGCACCTGCGATGCGTCCATGCTTTCAGCCACTTCTGATTCGCTCCCCAAGGAGCCAGTTATCGAGCTACACGGGAGCACCCCATTGATGGGTGGAACCCTGGGAGCCCCTGACCTTGTGAACACTTCTGCCCGTACACTTTTAACGCTACACTATCCCAAAAACTCCCTGCTGCCCAAATTGCTGTGTTCCGAAACCCGATCTCAGGACCACTTAACTAAAACTCTCCCGAAACAGCCATGTGCTGGTCGATAGTCCCCAACTCTCAACATACACACGCAACTATGCGTATGCGCGCCAATCAGCTTGCATCAACATCTCCGGTTCTTGGGTCTAGCCAAATGCTGCCCAATCAGTATCAGCGCGCATTGGGAAGAGTGCACATGACTTAGGGATTGGTCAACCCCTCTCTACATTCCACCTAGGGATTGGTTCTCCTTTCCCCCCCCCTCCAACCCCACTCCTGCTGCTCCCCCTGCTCCACCTGCTGCTGCTCCTCCTGCTCCTGCTCCTCCTGCTCCTGCTCCTCCTGCTCCTGCTCCTGCTGCTGCTCCTCCTGCTGCTCTTGCTGGTGCTCAGGTTCTAGCCAGCCTAGTTCTCTACTACAGCGATACCCCTGTGCTTTATTGGACGACGTGCTTGGACCTGAAACATGCTGGGAGGCCCCTTTGCTTGAAGAATCCCCTGCGAACCTCAGGTTCCTCCCTGCCCCTCCCTGCTAGCTTCAGGAGCAGGCTCGTGCGGTATTTCGTTTGTCTCGTTCACTTGTTTTTTATACTGTCGCTGCTAGCGCTAAGAGCGCGCAGGGCTTCCTTCTCGTAGTGTCCGCTCGTGCAGATTCGAAGGGGAAGGCGGATTTATTTCAGGCAACCCCGCCCGCGTCGCTATCTGCGCTGCAAGGGGCACTCTCCCCTCCCTGTTGCGTTCCTCGCTATCCTCGCCGTCCTCGCCGTCGTCGCCCCTCTCTGGCATTGGAGTTGCTACGTAACGCGCCTTTCCAATACTCCAGTAATTCGTTAGCACTGAAACTACTAAGGAATCATTGGTCAGTCCGCCGCGATTCCCGCTGTGTAGCACTGGTACCTGCAGCGTGCCACGTCAGCAATGGCGGGGTCAGGGGGAATCAGCCTGGCGTTCCGGTGGGTGGAAGACGTGGCGTCCCCGTTATTGTTCACCCTGATACTAGCGTGGATGCTCTACTCCGTCATGCACACTTTATTCACGTTTAAGAACAGCGAAATGACTATAACGAGGAAAATCGACGAGAAGGGAGAAGGTGATGGGGAGGAGGAGGAGGAGGACGACGAGGGTTGGAACCAAGTGGAGATGCATGAGGCAGAAGACGACAAACCGAGTGAGCCCGGAAGCGACAACGCATGTGATGACGCACATGGTGACACTAACGAGGATGATATTGTCGAAGTGCCCGCTGCTACTCCGCCCCTCTCCAGCGGAAACCTAAACGAGTCGCAAGGGGAGTCACTTGCGCCAGCCCCTGTAAAAGATTCCTCCGCCACCGACCCTTCCCCAGGACCTTCCACCCCGTCCGCCCCGTCCGCCCGCTCCCCCTCCGCCCTTTCCGCCCCTTCCGCCCTGCCTGCTTCTTCCGCTCCTTATAACGCGGACAAAGTCGACGCTGGCGAGAGTGACAGCGACGACGACTGGGAGGGCATCGAGGCGTCGGAGGCGGAGGATCGATTCTCGGCGGCCGCAGCTCTGGTGACCACAATGGCGGCCACTGGGAATCTCAAGATTGGAGAGGGGCTGCAGCTGCTGCTGTACGCGCTCTACAAGCAGGCCAGCGACGGGCCCTGTAACGCTAAACAACCAGCAGTTTACAATTTCAAGGCCCGTGCCAAATGGTTAGTGCATGTCTCTCTTGTTCTCCCTTGTTCCTATGAGAATGGATGGCAACCTGAATATCGGCGAGGGGCTGCAGCTGCTGCTGTACGCGCTGTACAAGCAGGCCAGCGACGGGCCGTGCATCACCAGGCAGCCTGCAGTCTACAATTTCAAGGCCCATGCCAAATGGTGAGTGCAATCATTCTCTTTCCTATGCGTCTGGGAATAGACGGCAGTCCCAAGATTGGAGAGGGGCTGCAGCTGCTGCTGTACGCGCTGTACAAGCAGGCCAGCGACGGGCCGTGCACCACCAAACAACCTGCAGTCTTCAACTTCAAGGCCCGCACCATATGGTGAGTGCACTCCTTTTCCTAGGCTTCTGAGAGTATCCAGTAATCTGAAGATCGGCGAGGGGCTGTACGCGCTGCTGCTGCTGCTCTATGCGCGCTCTACAGGCAGGCGAGTGATGGGCCGTGCATGCAACACCAGGCAGCCTGCCATGTATAACTTCAAGGCCCGTGCTAAGTGGTGAGCACCCCTTCTTTTTTGTCACAACCAATACTACGAATTGTACCCCAAAAATAAACTAATAAAGGCTCTACCCCCTCACAAACCTTAACTGTGCAATGCCAGTGCTCGTGCGAAATGATGGCCTCTATCCTTTTCTCCTTTTTGCTGCCTTCGGAAAGGTAGGAAACATAAATATGCTCAAGAAAGTTTTTTATTTATTATTATTATTCCTATATTGCCGTGGCAACCATGCGTGTTACAGGGACGCATGGAAGAAGCTAGGGAGCATGAGCCAGGACGAGGCCATGGCGCAGTACGTGGGCATGGTAGAGCAGATGATACCGCCCCCAGATGAGGTATGTTGGGGGGGAGGAGGGGGGGGGGGGGGGGGGGGGGGGGGGGGGGGGGGGGGGCGGGTTCGCTCTATGCAGAACTGTATGTAATGTATAGATGTGGAGTGAACACACCCGACCCACATACTTTCCAATCTTACCCCGCGCGCCCAACCCCGACCCTCTTCCCCACAGGGACCGAAGGGCGTTGGGGGTTCATCCAAAGGAGGGGGGGAGGGAGGGGGAGGGGGAGGGGGAGGGGGAGGGGGGGGGGCAGGGAGGGGTGTGAGTACGATGTTGATGGCGGAAGGTGCGGAGGAGAGTGGAGAAGAGGGAGGGATCGGAGCGACAGCTGCTGATGGCAGCGCTTCTGGCTTTGGGTAAGTCCGTTCTGCTCTCTCCTCTTTTCTGCAAGGAGGGGAGGGAAGGATGGGAAGGGAGGGGTGTGAGTGCAATGCTGAGGGCAAAAGGCGCGGACGGGGGAGACTGGAGGGAGGTTGGGGAGGATGGAGGAGAGGGAGGGCCTGCAGCAGCAGCAGCAGCAGCAGCAGCAGCTGGCAGTGCTTCAAGCTTTGGGTAAGTGTCTTTCCGGGGCAGGGGGAGGGGGAGTCAGGGAGGGGTGTGAGTGCAATGTTGATAGCAGAAGGTGCGGAGGAGAGTGGGCTGGGCAATGTGGAAGTGGAGGGCAGAGAGGGGGGGGTTGGAGCAGCAGCCGATGGCAGTACTTCTGGCTTTGGGTAAGTCTTCTGAAGGAGGGGGAGGGAAGGGCGGGGGGTGTGAGTACACTGTTGATGGCAGAAGGTTGGGAGGAGAGTGAGGGGGGGAGGTGGGGGAGGATGGGAGAGAGGGAGGGGATGCAGAGGGGCAGCAGCAGCTGATGGCAGTGCTTCTGGCGTTGGGTAAGTCCGTTCTGCACTCTCCTCTTTTCCTGCAAGGCTTTGGGTAAGGGCGCTCCTGGATTTGATTGAGTGCATCGCTCACCCTCCATTGCTCACTCTCCTCTTTCTCCCCCTCATCCTCTCTCGCCCTTCCTCCCGTTCTCTTTTGCGCCTGTTGCCACTCTCTGCTCCACATCCCCGCCTGTGCCACATCCCTTCCCCTTCCCCTTCCCCCCCCTTCCTCCCCTCCTCACCGCCACCCTCCCGCTTTTCCCCCATAGTTGACTCCCTTCCAGCCGACTGCACACTCATGCCAGTGCTGACGGGGAGGACACTGCAGTATTTGAGTCGACTCAAAAGCACTGCAGCAGCAGAGGAATGGATAAAGCTCCGCTCTCCCCATCCGTTCCCACCCCCCCCACTACTTCCGCATTCCCCCCAATCACCCCTCCCCCCTTTCCTTTCCCTACTCCAGCCGCCTCCATGCACTGGCGAGTGCTAACGTGGAGGAATGGATAAAGCTTCCTGCCTCCCTCCCCCCCCCCCCCCCCTCCTCCCTCTCCTCTCCACACTTCCGCGCCCGCCCACCCCGTCCCCCCTCCCACTTCCCCCCCATGACCTACTCTCTTCCAGCCGCCTACATGCACTGGCGAGTGCTGACGTGGAGGACAGTGCAGCAGTGGAGGAGTGGATAAAGACACATCCTGAGGCCCTGGAACAGAGAGGTGAGATGCGGTGCAGAGCGGTGTAGTGTGGTGCAAGAGTCAGACGAGGCGGCGTAAGCAAGTGTGGATGAGGACGCACCCTGAAGATGATTTTTGAAGCAATAGAGTTTTGAGGCGCCTCAAAAGACGAGTTCTGAGGCACCTAAAAAATCGTAAGCAAGTGTGGATGAGTATGCACCCTGAAGATGATTTTTGAAGCAATCGAGTTTTGAGGCGGCTCAAAAGACGAGTTCTGCGGCGCCTCAAAAGACGAGTTCTGAGGCGCCTAAAAAATCGTAAGCAAGTGTGGATGAGTATGCACCCTGAAGATGATTTTTGAAGCAATCGAGTCGACTAAAAAATCACCTGCAGGCTGCATGTATCGGTGGCGACGTGGATGATCACTCACCCTGAAGCGCACACAGATCTGCACTGCAATACTCACCTGCATGTCAGTGCATCCATCCATGCCTTGGGAACAACCTCACTAAGATTGCAAGAGAGCCATTACACAAGTCAGTACTGCTGTTATAATGGCACCTCTCATGTTTGTCTCTCCCTCCCACTCGCAGACAACGAAGGCCGGACGGCGCTACACTGGGCGGCAGACAGAGGCAAGCTGGCCATGGCACAGATCTTGCTGACTCATGGAGCTGACGTGAACCAAACGGTAAGTGCTCCCCCCTCCCCCCTCCTCCCTCCCTCTCCCCCTCCACCCCCCTCCCTCCTTCTCTTCCCCCCTCTTCATCCCTCTTTCCTCTATCGGCTACTCTTGCACAAGTTAGCCGTGGCAGAACTCTTGCTGACTCATGGAGCTGACGTCAACTAAACGGTAAGTGCCCCCCCCCAACCCCCCTCCCCTCGAACCCCCCACTCCACACACGCATACCACCATTCCCCTTCCACATTCACTCACACACCCCTTGCCTCAAAAAGCATGGTCATACTCTCGTACTCTCTCTCTCACACACTCACACTCCCTCCCTCACACACTCGATCGCTTAGTGCCTGTTGACTAAGGAGCCAAGAGCAAGGCTGCTCCCCCGTCTCGGGGCTCCTCCCTCCTCTCATCCCCTTTCTCCACTCACCTACATTTTCTTGCCTCCTTGTCAACCGATTCCCTTCCAATGCCAGTAAGATGAGGGTCAGATGATGAGGGTCAGATGATGAGGGTCAGATGACGAGGGTCAGATGACGAGGGTCAGACGCCCTTGCACTATGCAGTAGTGTGCGAGCACGAGGCAATCCCCAGCCTCCTGCTGGAGGGTGGCACCAATCCATGCGCTTTACTTCCATCTCCTTTTCCCTCCCCTCCCCTCCCCTCCGCTTCCCCACTTAGTCTCCTAATCAATCCAGGACAACGAGGGTCAGACCCCTCTTCATTATGCCACTGTATGCGAGCATGTGGCACTCGCTGACCTCTTGCTGGAGAGTGGTGCCGATCCGTGCCCTCTCCTCCCATCTCCCCTTCCCTTCCCTGCCCTCCCCTGCCCTCGCTTTCTCTTAATCCAGGACGACGAGGGTCAGACGCCCTTGCACTATGCAACAGTGTGCGAGCACGAGGCAATCGCCAGCCTCCTGCTGGAGAGTGGTGCCGATCCGTGCCGCCCGGACAACGAGGGCACCCGCCCTCGGGACATTCGCCCAGCCTCGTGGTCTTCCCCGGCTTGGAATGCGGCAGATTAAGATGCGTGGCTGATTAAGTCGCGCGGCTGCCTTGTGGCCATTCCCTGCCACCCAGCCTCGTGGTCCGGCCCGGCTTGGAATGCAGCCGATTACGACTTGTGGCTGCCTGATGGCCGATCTCTGCCGCCCAGTCTCATGACCAGGCCCGGCTTAGGATGGGGCTGGCTGAGGCTCGGGAATAGGGCCGGGATATTGTTTGGTTGATGCTCGGAACTGGCTGCAGTGATGGCTGTGTTTGTACATACCGGTGGCAGCAGAGCAGCCAAAACAACCTGAAACGAGTAGAGCAGACTTTTAGAAGAGCGAGGAACGGGTCTGGCACTATGCGTCCTTTAGAGAAGACAAGACTGGGAAGCATGAGGAGAGCCACGGGTATCCGCCCTTGGGAGGAGACACTTAGTTGAGGGATGGGGATTAGGGTAGTTTGTTCACGGAGTGACAGGTGCGATGTGTCTGAATGTGATGTTCTACAAATGACGATGCTGTGCTTATGTGTGCTGTGAATAGTGTGCCAATGTATGCGATCCCTGAAAAGGATTGACAATCCAAAAAGCGCCGCCCGTGGGGCTCGAACCCACGACCACAAGGTTAAGAGCCTTGCGCTCTACCAACTGAGCTAGGGCGGCTGGTTGTAAGATGCAACATTCAAATCATAGAAATAGTAATGTTCATCCGCTTGCTGCTTTCTCCTCCGTGCTTTCGTCGTCGTATCAATGGCGGCTTTTCTACTCTTCGCCCTGGTCCTCACCACCGCCAGTTCCGTGACCGCAAAACCCAGCATCGCCAAATCCCAAGGTGGCATGCCACATTTAATTCTACGCACCGCTACGCTGGACGCTTCAACAGCCATATCTTTGCACATTTTGCACCGCATTGCATCTAGGATCCTGTTTCTGAGGCGGCTCAAAATACCATTGCATCTCATCTGCGAGCGCTGGCCATCCCCTTCATTCGTTGTTTGTTTCCCTCACACCGCATTGCACCACATTGCATCTCGGCCTTGTTCACTTCCCTTGCATCGCAGCCGATGGCCTGACGGCCCTACAGGTGGCGTGGGGCGGGCTGGAGCCAATGAGCATCCTCCTCTTCTCAACCCTCTCGCCCCTCCCCCACTCCCCCCCACTCCCCTCCACTCCCCCTCTCTCTCCTCCACTCCCCTTTGCAGCTGATGGCTTGACGACGGCGCTACAGCCGGCGTGGGGCGTGCTAGAACCAATGGGCAACCGACTTTGCCCTTCCGTCTCGCCCCTCTCCACTCCCCTTTGTAGCCGACGGCCCGAAGGCCCTACAGGTGGCGTGGCGCGAGGTGGCGCCGTCGCGTGTGCTGGAGTCAACGCAGCGACTCCCCCCTCCACTCCCCCCCCCACTCCCCCCTCCACTCCCCCCTCCACTCCCCCCCACTCCCCCCTCCCCTCCCCCCTCCACTCCCCCCTCCACTCCCCCCTCCACTCCCCCCTCCACTCCCCCCTCCACTCCCCCCTCCACTCCCCCCTCCACTCCCCCCTCCACTCCCTCCTCCACGCTCCACTCCCCCCTCCACTTCCCCCTCCACTCCCCACTCCCCCCTCCACTCCCCCTCCACTCTCCACTCCCCCCTCCACTCCCCCCTCCACTCCCCACTCCCCCCTCCACTCCCCACTCCCCCCTCCACTCACTCCCCACTCCCCACTCCCCACTCCCCCCTCCACTCCCCCCTCCACTCCCCACTCCCCCCTCCACTCCCCCCTCCACTCCCCCCTCCACTCCCCACTCCCCACTCCCCACTTCAGCCGATGGCCTCACTCCGCTACAGGTGGCGTGGGGCGGGGTGAAGCCATCCGTCAAGTTGGAGTCAACTGAACCGAAAGATAGTATCCTACTTTCCCTCTTCCTCTTGACCCCCCTCTCCCCCCGCTCCCCCCGCTCCCCCCGCTCCCCACTTCAGCCGATGGCCTCACGGCTCTGCAGGTGGCGTGGGGCGAGCTGGAGCCAACATGGGCCGTTGGATCGGACTGCAGCAAGGCCTTGGGATTGTCGTGCGACAGTGAGGGCAGGATCGTTGCTGTGTGAGTGGTTCTTATGCACACTCGTGAGATAATACCAGCCGATGGCCTTATAGCCCTACAAGTGGCGTGGGCCGTTGGGTCGGATTGCAGCAAGGCCCTGGGATTGTCGTGCGACAACGAGGGCAGGATCGCGGCCGTGTGAATGGCCTTGTGAGTGGCCGTGTGAGTGGCTGTGTGAGTGGCCGTGTGAGTGGCACTGTGGCCGTGTGAGTGTTGAGTCAATTGGATTTATGAGTACTGTTCAGTAACGTTCGGCGGGTTCGGGTCCATAAACAGTGACATTTGCCCTAGAAAGACTCGCTTTTGCTACGGCTCCGGAAAACCTTAATCAGGCCACTGCCCAAATAGTCCATTTTTCCCTCCTCGATGATATGGAGCTAATAAATCTACAACTTTAATACCAGTTTAAAAAATATAAAGTTTTGTATCTAATTGAGTAAATGCTGGAGCCGGGTGTATCCCCGAGGGAATCAGCACATCGTTGTCCCATTCCTTCGTCCCTCCCCCTCCCCCCTCTCGCGGGCTCTTTTCAGCGTGCATGTTCTTGTTGTTCCCAGCCACGTGCCAACTGGCTGGCACCGTATCCCCGAGGACATCATCAGCGCATCGTTGTCCCATTCCCCCGTCCCGCCCGCTCCCTCCCTCTTTCTCCCCTCCCTGCTCCGGCATTGCTCTCAACCCCCTTCTGCACTGCGCGCCTTTGTGTTGTTGGTGATTTTTTAGAACTCTGAAAAAACACCTACATCTCTTTCTCCCCTCTCTGCTCCTGCATTTCTCTCAACCCCCTTCTGCATGCTACTTATTTGACCCCAGCAACGTGCCAGCTGGCAACATATCCGGGTATATCCCCCAACATATCCGGGCAACATATCGGGGCATATCTCTGAGGGCACCAGCGCTTTGCTTCAATCCTCCCTCCCTCCCTCCCTCCCTCCCTCCCTCCCTCCCTCCCTCCCTCCCTCCCTCCCTCCCTCCCTCCCTCCCTCCCTCCCTCCCCCCCCCCCCCTCCCCCCCCCCCCCCCCCCCCCCCCCTCCCTCCCTCCCTCCCTCCCTCCCTCCCTCCTCCCTCCCTCCCTCCCTCCCTCCCTCCCTCCCTCCCTCCCTCCTCCCTCCCTCCCTCCCTCCCTCCCTCCCTCCCCTCCCTCCCTCCCTCCCTCCCTCCTCCCTCCCTCCCTCCCTCCCTCCCTCCCTCCCTCCTCCCTCCCCTCCCTCCCTCCCTCCCTCCCTCCTCCCTCCCTCCCCTCCCTCCCTCCCTCCCTCCCTCCCTCCCTCCCTCCTCCCTCCCTCCCTCCCTCCCTCCCTCCCTCCCCCTCCCTCCCTCCCTCCCTCCCTCCCCTCCCTCCCCCTCCCTCCCTCCCCTCCCTCCCTCCCTCCCTCCCTCCCTCCCCCTCCCTCCCTCCCTCCCTCCCTCCCTCCCCTCCCTCCCTCCCTCCCTCCCCCTCCCTCCCCTCCCTCCCTCCCTCCCTCCCTCCCTCTCTCCCTCCCTCCCTCCCTCCCTCTTCGTCAATGTCCTTATTTGACCCCAGCAACCTGCCAGCTGGCAACATATCCGGGTATATCCCCCAAGGCATCAGTGCTCTCAAGAGCCTGCAGCGGATGTGAGTGGCATTGTGGTGCGGTGTGCTGTGGAGTGGCGTGCCCCCATACATTACCATGCCCTTAGCCATACCATCCAACGACACGCCAATGCATAGCTCTGCCCAGCAACCAAGTGTTCAACTCCTTCCCTGCCTTTGTAGTGTGTTTTTGAGAATTCTCAAAAACACCCTTTCTCTGCCCAACAACCAGCTGCTCAACTCCCTCCCTGCCTCCATATCCTCACTCATTCCCATGCAGTCCTGTGCCCTTAACCATATCCGTGCAATACCCATACCCCTTACGTACCCGCACCCGTGTAGCTCTCTGCCCAACAACCAGCTGCTCAACTCCCTCCCTACCTCCATATCCTCACTCATTCCCATGCAACCCAGTGCCCTGACCCGCACCCGTGCAATACCCGTACTCCTTACTTACCCATACTCGTGCAGATCTCTGCCCACCAACCAGCTGTTCAACTCCCTCCCTTTTGAGTCGAATCAAAAGCGGACTCATTACTGCGTGCCCGTGCCCATGCTCACTAACCATACCCTTTGCAATACCCGTACTTTATACTTACCATTTTTTAGGCGCCTAAAAAATCATACCCTTTGCAATACCCGTACTTTTTACTTACCCGCACCTGTGCAGATCGCTGCCCAACAACCAGCTGTTCAACTCCCTCCCTGCCTCCCTTTCGGCACTTACCAACCTCACTTCCATGTATGCATGACGTTTCTCATGCACGTATTCATGTACGTGTGTATGCCTTGCTCACATCCATGTGCGTATGTATGCCATGCCACGGCACATCCTGGTATGTACGCCATCTCGTATCCATGTATGCATGCCATGTACTATTAGTGTTATGACAAGAATTTGCTCTTACATGGATCCATGCATATTCCTGTTATTAATATTTTTCCCCAAAACAGGATAACGCGTTTGCTGTTATTTCAATTAATTCCTACCCTCCCTCTCCTTATGTTTTGCAATTGCATCCCCTTTAGTGAGCTATCCAATAACAACATAACGGGCTCCATCCCCAATGCCATCTTCAAGCTTACTCAGCTTGATATCCTGTAAGTGCTTGCGCGCATACACAGCTTGATATCCTGTAAGTGCTTGCACAGATACCCAGTTAAAAATCCTCCTAAAGTCCTTGCACCAGGGGCCTATCTCACAACAACAGGCTTCACGTTTTCCCTTCAACAACATCATCTCAATGCTCCTTCACAGTTAAAAATCCTCCTAAGTCCTTGCTCCAGGGACCTATCCCAATGCTCCTCCCTCCCTCCTTTAACCGAAGGTCACCTCCCCTCCCTTGCACCAAGGACCTGTCTTGCAACAGGAACCAAATATCAACCCGCCCCTCTCAACCAAACGCCACCTCCCTCCCCTCCCTTGCACCAGGGACCTCTCTCCCAACAGGCTTCACATCTTCCCTTCACCCTCAACACAATGCTCCTCCCTCCCTCCCTCCTTCCTCCTTCTCCCCACCCGCTCCTCTCAACCAAACCCCACCTCCCTCCCCTCGGCACCAGGGACCTATCTCGCAACAAATTCACATCCTCCCTTCCAGATGCATTCGGCTCACTCTTCACTCTGCAGAAGCTGTAAGTCGCACTGCTGCCGCCCTTGCCATTTGAGCATTTCCCATCACGGCTGCTCGTGTATCAATGCCACATCACATCCTCCCTTCCGGACGCATTAGGCTCTCTCTCTCTCTTCTTGCTGCAAAATCTGTAAGCCCTGCTGCACTGCTTTTGCCTTCCAAGCACACCCTGTCAATTCTGGAAACAATACCACATCCTCAATTGGTCCTTTGTGTTGCATAGAAGAAGAGAACAGACAAGGCAAATGGACAACCACAAAGGTGAGCCCTTCCAGATGCATTCGCCTCACTCTTCACTCTGCAGAAGCTGTAAGCCCTGCTGCCGCCCCATCACTCTGCAGGATTTTCGAGCATGTCCCATCACTCTGCAGGATTTTCGAGCATGTCCCATCACTCTGCAGGATTTTCGAGCATGCCCCATCACTCTGCAGGATTTTCGAGCATGTCCCATCACTCTGCAGGATTTTCGAGCATGTCCCATCACTCTGCAGGATTTTCGAGCATGCCCCATCACTCTGCAGGATTTTCGAGCATGTCCCATCACTCTGCAGGATTTTCGAGCATGTCCCATCACTCTGCAGGATTTTCGAGCATGTCCCATCACTCTGCAGGATTTTCGAGCATGCCCCATCACTCTGCAGGATTTTCGAGCATGTCCCATCACTCTGCAGGATTTTCGAGCATGTCCCATCACTCTGCAGGATTTTCGAGCATGTCCCATCACTCTGCAGGATTTTCGAGCATGTCCCATCACTCTGCAGGATTTTCGAGCATGTCCCATCACTCTGCAGGATTTTCGAGCATGTCCCATCACTCTGCAGGATTTTCGAGCATGCCCCATCACTCTGCAGGATTTTCGAGCATGCCCCATCACTCTGCAGGATTTTCGAGCATGCCCCATCACTCTGCAGGATTTTCGAGCATGCCCCATCACTCTGCAGGATTTTCGAGCATGCCCCATCACTCTGCAGGATTTTCGAGCATGCCCATAACTGAGGAGTCAGGGGCGCCCCTGACTCCTCAATCTATTTCCCAGGGGAGCATTTCCCATCCGTCTATTTCTGAGACGCCTCAAAAAGAGCATTTCCCATCACTGCTGCTCATATATCAATGTCGCATCCTCTTTTCCGGATTCAAAAGCTCTCCTCCCTTCCCCTCACTCTGCTCTCTGCAAAAGCTGTAAGCTGCACTGCTGCCACTGCTGCTCTTGCCTGCAAATTCGAGGCATGTTTTGAGAACTCTGGAAAAACCCTCACACCCTGCATGCCACTTTTATTCCCCCCCTCCTTCACCCCGCGCAGCAACCTCTCAGTGAACGCCTTATCTGGCACCCTCCCAGAACTCCAACCACCCAGCAAGCCGTTGCCGTCCCACCCCACCCCACCCCATCCCACCCCACCCTACCCCACCCCACCCCCCATAACAGCAACCTCACAGTGAACGCCTTCTGGCACCCCCCCTCCCCTCCCCTCCCCTCCCCTCCCCTCCCCTCCCCTCCCCGCATCCATCTTTTTCCTTTCCGGTCCCACTCCTACCCCGACCACACCGAGAGTGCTTTTGAGGCACCTCAAAAGCGGTCCCACTCCTACCCCGACCAAACCGAGAGTGCTTTTGAGGCACCTCAAAAGTGGTCCCACTCCTACCCCGACCACACCAAGAGTGCATTTGAGGCGCCTCAAAAGCGGTCCCACTCCTACCCCGACCACACGGTCCACACCCCCAACCCTCGCTTCTCCCCCACTCCTCTTCCCCTCGCAGTCATCTCTCTCCTTGAACGCCTTCTGAGGCACCCTCCCCTCCCAGCATGACTTTTGAATCAACTCAAGAGTTCCCACACACACACACCCCCCCCCAACCCCCTTTTTTCTCCCCCTCTCCTCTACCCTCGCAGCAATCTCTCTCTCAATGATCGCCTTCTCAGGCACCCTCCCAGCACCCCAGCACCCCAGCCACCCAGCCACCCAGCCATCCATTGCCATCCCACCCTAACCCCCACCCACGGCGCCTCCCCGTCTCTTCTTCCCCTCGCAGCAATCTCTGTCTCAATGAACGGATTCTCAGGCACCCTCCCAACTACATTTGAGGCGCCGCAAAAGTAGTCCCGACCCCCCCTTCTCCCCGTCTCTTCTTCTCCGCGCAGTAACCTCTCAATGAATACCTTCTCAGGCACCCTCCCAGCATCCATTGGCGATCTCAACTTTCTCGAAACTCTGTAAGTCCAATCTGTTTCAGACTCCACTATTTCTCTTTGTTCTTCTCGTAAGTGCAACTTTTGACTGTAAAACTCTTGTGTAGCACCACCCTTGCCCTGCCCCTGCTGTGCTTTTGAGGCGCCTCAAATTTCGTGTCTTCTTTTTTACACCTCCCTACTCGTCCTCCTCCTTTCCCTTTTTTACTCCCCCCCAGTGACCTGCACTCTTAACAGCTTCACTGGTTCAACTCCCCTCCCTCACCCACCTCGACGTGCCGCTCACTGGCCTTCTCCTGTCCCCCTCCGTTGCGTCTTTTCCCCAGCGACCTGCATTACAAAAGTCTCACAAAACCTTCCCATCTCTACGACGGAAGCATGAACCTTTTCCCCTCTCTTGTCTCCCTCCCCAACACCCCTCAGTGACCTGCATTACAACAGTTTCTCAGGCTCGCTCCCCGCCTCGCTCGCCCAGCTCTCTTCCCTCACTCACCTCGACATATCAGTCACGAGCCTAATCTGCCCCATGGATGGCACCTGCCCCAATTATACCGTCCCCATGTCGTCCCTCTACTGCGAAAAGTGCTCCTCCTTCTGCCGTTACTGCAATGATCCCAGTGAGTGCTTTTGGGAGGGCGCGTAACATGCAGCCTGCACCAAAGATACGCTCTACCCCAGTCATGCCATCCCCATGTCGTCCTTCTAGTACCTCCTTCTGCCGTTACTGCAATGGTGCCAGTGAGTGCTTTTGGGCGGGCACGTAACATCCCCTCTGCACCAAAGGATACGCCCTACCCCAGTCATGCCATCCCCACCTCGTCCCTCTAGTTCTTCCTTCTGCTGGTAATGTTTTAGGCGACTAAAGAATATCCCCCTAGTTCCTCCTACTGCCACTTCTGCAATGACAATGGTGAGTACTTGGGGGAAGGGGAGTGCCTTGAGGGAAGTTGCTTTGGGTGAGGGGGGTGTTCTGGGCCTCCAAAGGCACCTGCCCCAGTTAGACCGTCCCCCTGTCGTCCCTCTACTGCAAAACATGCACCTCAATATGCCCTGCCCCAGTCACGCCCTCTGCACATGTTCTCTTCCCCTGCCTTCTCATTCTCCCCCCTCTCTTCCCACCTCGGCCAGGCATCACTCGACCCCCTTCCACACTAGCACCAACACCGGCCCCAGCACCAACACCGGCCCCAGCACCATCACCCCCATCCCCGTCACCCGCTGCAGCCAAACCTCCAGGCTCTTCCTCTACAGGGGTGCCCCCATCACCCTCCCCGGCACCACCCCCCCCTCCTCCTACTCGCTCGGCCTCCCCTTCTCTCCACCGCACTCCTCCCACCTTGTTTCGTCTATTCTTCCTCATCATCTCCTGCCTGCTGCCTGTTGGCCTGGTGTGATGAAGTGTAATGTTTTGTTTTAGTCCGCGCAGCAGCAGCACGGCTAGGGAAGTCGGTTCTTGGCGGTGAGCTGTCTAGTTGTAACTTGTAAGCATACGTCGTAGTAGACTGGATAAATAGATAATGTTGTAGGACATCCAATGTATTATTCATTGCTTTGTTTGTTGTAACAAATCAAATCCATCGTAGTGGTATTCTCTCCACACGAAATGAGAAGGGATTTTTTTTCCCTCTACTCCCTAGGGTTTGTCAATGGTATAACTGCAAATACAGGTACCACGAGCCGAGCCCTTCGAGCCCTTCAAAACAACAAATACAACAAAACTTCTTGCATTATATCTGTTCTCCTTGTTGCTTGTAACTCGATAGGACGAGGATATAGTCTTATACTGTAACAGGGATTATATCTGACGCACCTGGTGCGATGCGAGTTCCCGCGCATACCGCAGCCAATCGAAGAAACCACGAAACAGCCCCCGAGTCGCCCGCAGGCTTCTACTGTTTGCACATGAAGCAACCATGCAGCTCTCGATGGAGCCCCAGCCAATATCGTGACCGCCCAGTTTGAATCGAACGGCTGGCACTTCTCACCCTAGTCCCTAGATTCTATCACCAGAGCGTCCTGCTTCACTCTTGCCCTCGAAGGCACTCGGTGACCCCAGCCCAGCCCAATACCATGATAGCTCCATTTTCAGACGACCCTCGCGGACGGACTACCAGTGCCCACTGGTTTTGAGGATTCAAAACCATTCTATTGGCAGCTATTAGATAGTACAGGCCTTGGGATTCTCACCTAGTTTTCAGCGTTGGCGTCGTATGACATAATACACTCTGCTATGGATATACTATGGTTAGTTTATCTTCCCTGGATAACTCCGACACCTGCCTGTCCTGATTGACCCTAGCCAGCATCGTAGTAATTTTGAGGTGCTTCAAAAATATTTGATCCTAGCCAGCGTCGAGGTGAGGCGAGGCGAGGCGAGGCGAGGCGAGGCGAGGCGAGGCCAAAGAAATCGTCGCCGTTATTCTCTCGGCGAGGCTTTTGACTTTTGAGGCGCCTAAGAAATCGTCTAAAGACTCACTGCCTATTAGCTCTCAGCGAGGCCTCTGCCAAAAGCCTTTGCGGTGGAGGTTACCTCAGGTGGTAACAGCCGTTAACAGCTGCCAAATCTTACAAGATGGTCCAACCCCGGCTTCTGTGCGTGGTGTTGGGGATTCTATCCGCGGCGACGTTACGTGCAGTGGCTATTAGGAGCACTCAAGGTGATTTTAATGCTGTTAGGAGCACTCAAGGCGGTTTTATTGCTGTTAGGAGCACTCAAGGCGATTTTAATGCTGTTAGGAACACTAAAGGTGATTTTGCAGCTGTTCGGAACACTCAAGGTGACTTGCTGCAAAACTATATATGGTAGCCACGGCCACCCTAGTAGTAATTGATGTATATGCATAGGTGCGACATTTGTCGCACCTGGTGTTGTATGTCGCACCTATGCATATACATCAATTACTGTCTGACCCACAACACCTTACTGTATGGGTGCGAAACCTTCTGCCTTTCTTCCGCTCTCTGTGTCTCCCCCTCTCGATCTCGCTCAGCCCCTCTTCGCATCGACTGCGGGTCCGACACCCCAACATCAGCCAACGGCCTGGATTGGCTCGCCGATAACTACTCCAACGGTGGCGATTCACATATCATCTCGAACCCTTCTGCCAACACTTCCCAAGGGTCTTCGATCAACTTGAATGCTGTGGAATCTACACTCCGCGCCTTCCCCCCCGGCACTACAGGCTGCTACAACATCCCCGTTATAAAGGGCCGCTATCTCGTGCGCCTGGGCTTCGCTTATAACAACTACGATAACCGCAACATGCCGCCGAGTTTCAGCGTTCTAGTGCAGGACACTTTTGTGGAGAGTGTAAATATGACCGTTGTGCAGTACAACTTCAGCGGCGCAGTGTATTACTCTGACTATATCGCGTACGCCCTGAAGGGGAAGCTCTCACTGTGCTTCCAGCCGCTACCGGCGGACTTGGGCTCTGTCGGCCACAAGGCCAGGCCCGAGCCTGGCGGCAAGGTCGGCCCCGAGGCTGGCAGCTCCGCTATAGTGAACTCGTTAGAAGTTCTGCCGCAAGACACTGACGCGTATGACGCTGCTACACTCGGCAATAATGTTATCCTCTCCACATACCTCCGGCTCAACATGGGGGGAGGCATGGTCGGGCCCGAGCCTGCAGACCCAGGCTTCCGAACCTGGATCGGGGACGTTCGGCCGGACCAGGGCAACTATTCAGTGGTTACGAAGCAATCTGCCTTGGGATCGATCTCTGGCTCGGGAGTTGCGCCTGACTACCTCCCTGCAGCAGTTTTTGAATCTGCCCGAGCTGCCCTGACTCCCGTGACAAACAGGAGTGACGGTGGCGGCGGGCAGTCTACGCTTCCGTCTCCTTCTCTGCCTCAAGCGACGGGCTTCCGAATGATGCTGTTGCCCGTGGACCTATCCGGCCTCTGGTATATCCGGTTCTATTTCGCCGAGCTGGATCCCTCTGCTCGGGCCGGCGACCGTGTGTTCGAGATCCTGCTAGGCAACGGTTACGTAGTCAAGACCAGTGGAAACCAGACCGGCCTGTCCACTGGTTACCAGATCGGTCAGTCGACTGGTAACCATACCGGCCTGTCCAGTAGCAACCAGACCGGCAGGTTTGACATTCTCGCTAAGGTGCCCCCGTTAACAGCACTGGTGGTGCCGGTGATTTTCAACCTTTCGGAGCATGCGTCGAGCCATGGGGCAGCATTCCCCGGCGCGGGCTGGGAAGAGGGTGGGCATCTGGAGGAGGTTTGGGATCTGGAGGTGGGAGTGCGCACGGTGCGGGGAAGCAGACTGCCAGGGGTGATCAGCGGAGTGGAGCTGTTTGAAGTGATTCCGCAAGCCAGTACTGAGAGCGCAGGTGAGGGAGCAAGTACACAGGTGAGCGGCTGTCTGATAGGTGTGTGTAGACTTGAGTGCGCATGTTGGGGGTTAGCTGGCTGCTGGCAGTGATCAGCGGAGTGGAGCTGTTTAAAGTGATTCTGCAGGCCAGCACCAAGAGCTCGGGTGAGGGAGTGTGTACTCAGGAAACTGGCCGGCTGAAAGGCATTCTTTGAGCGCGCACTGTGGGCAGCAGCCAGCTGCCTGCGGTGATCAGTGGAGTGGAGCTGTTTGAGGTGATTCCGCAAGCCAGCACCACGAGCTCAGGTGAGGGAGTTCATAACAGGTCAGTGGCTATTTACAGGGCTCATGGTGTTGAGTTGAGCGCGCATGGTGGGATGGGGGGTTGTTGGTGATCAGTGGATTGGAGCTGTTTGAAGTGATTCCGCAAGCCAACACCACGAGCGCAGGTGAGGGAGTTTGTAGACAGATAAGTGGCTATGTACAGGGCCCATGGTGAGAGAGGCTTGTAAGCGTCGTGTTGTAGTGAAATTTCTGCCTATCAAACGCTATCCTTCTTAATTCCTAGATCATAGTCGGGGGAACCGAGCTTGCAGCTACCTACCTGACTTCCCAGTGGAGAGGTCAGTGGCTGCCTACAGGGTTCATGGTGGTGAGTTGAGTGCGCAGGGTGGGGTGAGGGGTAGTTGGTTCTCAGTGGTGATCAGCGGTGTTGAGATGTTCGAAGGGCACCACTGACTCGCAGAGGGCAGCGTTATGAATCGCAGCCCTCTCTAACGCGAGGAGCCTGTTTTTAAGGCGCCTTAAAAAAACCATGCATGAGGATTCTATTTTTGAGGCTCCTCAAAAGAACCATGCGTGAGGAGTCTAATTTTGAGGCGCCTAAAAACAACCATGCGTGAGGAGTCTATTTTTGAAACGCCTCAAAAACAGCGTTATGACTCGCAGCCCTCTCTAACGCGAAGCGAGTGCAGAGAGGTTGTCTGGATGGTTGTGGTTGTGCGTGGTATTTCAAGTGGCTGTTGCGATTGGGCGTGTGCGTTTGGCTGCTGCATGCAATTGTATGTGTGCTCTCCTCCCATTCTCCTCTCTCCCTCCCACCTATTCTCCTTCCTCCCGTCCCATCCCGGCCAGGCATCACTCGCCCTCTCCCAGACCCAACACCAGCCCCACCATCAGCCGCAGCACCATCAGCACCAGCACCCGCACCATTGGCACCAGAACCCGCTACAGCCACACCTCCTACCTCCCCCTCAACCGCACCTACAGCCCCCACTTCTGGCACACCTCAGCCACCTCCAGGCCCCCCCTCAGCCGCCCCCTCAGGCTCCCCTGCTGTTGGCATATCCCCAGCCCTGCCCCTTGCACCCCCGTCTGCCAAACCCACTGGCCAGTCACCACCTCCCCCTGCTACCACCCCCCCTTCCACCTCTCCCACTTCCACCTCTCCTCCCAGCCCCCCTCCTCCCACTCGCTCGGCCTCCCCTTCTCTCCACCACGCTCCTCCCACCCTCTTGCGCCTGCTGTTCCTCCTCCTATTGTCCTGCCTGCTGCCCTCTAGCTTGTTGTAGTTAGCAACGAATTTGAGGCGCCTCAATAGTCTCCCCTTCTCTCCACCACACTCCTCCCACCCTCTTGTTCCGGCTGTTCGTCCTCCTCCTCTTGTCCTGCCTGCTGCCTGTCGTAGTTAGCAACGAATTTGAGGCTCCCCTTCTCTCCACCTCACTCCTACCACCCTCTTGTTCTGGCTTTTCCTCCTCTTGACCTACCTGCTGCCTGCAGGCCTGTCGTAGTTAGGGATGAAACTTGAGGCGCCTCAGAAGTCTCCTCTTCTCCTTTCCACACCCCTCGCACCCTCTTGTTCGGCTGTTCCGCCTCTTGTCCTGCCTGCTGCCTGTAGGCCTGGTGTAAATTGTGACGATTGTTTAGTCTGCGACAATGGCAGTGGCAGGTGCAGCTGCTGTAGCAGCTGCCATCTGTGGTAGTGGGAGCAGCAGCAGCAGCAGCAGCAGCAGCTGGAGCAGGAACAGGAGCAGGAGCGGCAACATCACAAGGAATCTCAGTTCTTAGCAGCAAGTTGTCTAGCTGTAACCGGATAGTGTACATATGTTTCATTTCAGGAGGTAAGTTATGTGCGGTGTCCAGATCCCAGGCTGGTAATTCTTGTTGTACATACAGCTTGACAAGTGTGCTTCGCCAAAGCTTCTTGTACAATTGTGTTAGAGATTTCAGTGGTGGACGAGAACGAATAGCGTATGAGATAGTCATAGGTTTGGTATACACATGTTCTAATGACTTCATATCATACACACCAATTAACTATACTAAAGAGGCACCTTAATTGTTCACAAGCTGTGCAGCTGTGGTTGTTACAGCTGCTTATTCTACCATCTAAACACCTGGTTACCGCTCAACTAGTGTGCTCGACAGCTCATCGGCAGTATCCCCCGCCTCCACTCCGCCGCCCGCCTTCACCAGCTCGGGCGGCACAGAACTGGCTGGCACAGCACCGGGCTCGCATTGTTTCCGCTCTCAACTCGTAACAGTGCTCGACATCTCATCAGCAGTAGGCGGCTCCTTCACCAACCCGGGCAGCACAATACCGGCCGGCGCAGCGCCGGGCGGCAAGCTCCTGGCATTCAGCCAGTCAATAATATCCCCAACCACTCTGGCGATGACATCGTCAGGTTCGCCGCACGTGAGCGCATGCCAGCACCCCTCGTACATCTTGATCTCTTTGTCGGCACTCGCTGATCGTATGAACAGCTCCTGGCTGGCTGCTGGGTCCGTGACCACGTCCTTGGCCCCGTGCAGGATTAGGAGAGGCACGGTTACCTGAGGGGCATGGGGAGGAGTTGGGGAGGGGATGGGGACGGTAACCTGACACAGAGGCTGCAAGCACCCCTCCTGGCAGGCTGCTGGGTCCGTGTCCACGTCCTTGGCCCCGTGCAGGATTAGGAGAGGCACGGTTACCTGCATACAGAGGCGGAATGGGGAGGGAAGGAGTGGGGGTTATTGAGAACACAGTAGCATGCCAGCACCCCTCATGCATCTCTGGCATGCTACTGTGCATCTTGAGCAGCCAGTTTGCCACTCGCATGAACGGCTCCTGGCTGGCTGCTGGGTTTGTGACCATGTTCGTGGCTCCATCAAGTACGAGGAGAGGGACTGTCACATGGGGGGAAGGGAAGTAGTTGGGAACGGGAGGATGATATGATTTGATTGATGTGATCTGATTGATATGATCTGATTGATACGATCTGATGACACTTGCTGCTGGCTATGTCTGTCACCATGTCCGTGGCCCGATGAATTATGAGTCGACTCAAAAATCACCTTTTGAGTCGACTAAAAAATCACCGATGAAGCATGAGAGAGGGACTGTCCCCTGGGGGGAAGGGAAGTAGTTGGGAACGGGAGACACACATCCACACACCCACATGCATGCATGCACACATGCGTCTCGCACCTCTTCCATGTGGCCGCCGATGTCCTGAGTGGTCCACAGCAGCTGCAGCGCCGTGCCAATGCATGCCGCGCACACACTGACGCACAAGAAAGCATGCGCACATGGGTCTCGCACCTCTTCCATGTGGCCGCCGATGTCCTGAGTGGTCCACAGGAGTGCAGCGCCGTGCCAAGGCGGGGCTTGTCCTGGTATGCAGAGGATCCCAGTATACAGACACACTACCACACACCCACCCTCTCACCTCTTCCATGTGGCCGCCGATGTCCTGAGTGGTCCACAGTAGCTGCAGCGCTGTGCCTAGGCGGGGCTTGTCCTGGTATGCAAAGGGGTGGTTCTCGGCCCTCTCCCGCTTCTCAGGCACCTGCAAAGGCATGCACACATACGCACATGTGTGCAGACACAACATACGCACAAGCAAACATATGCACATGTGTACAGACATAACACATACGCACAAGCAAACATATGCACATGTGTACAGACATAACACATACGCACAAGCACACATACGCACATGTGTACAGCCATAACACATACGCACACGCACACATACGCACACGTGTACAGCCATAACACATACGCACACGTGTACAGCCATAACACATACGAACCCATGATGGCTTAGAGAATACAAGGGGGTGGCGGAAAGTCTTGTCCATTCCAAAAGAGGGACAAAAGGGTGGTTCAGGTGCTTACAGGTGCTTTCAGGTGCTTTCAGGTGCTTTCAGATGCTTTCAGGTGCTTTCCCACCATCGAAATCAGAAGAGTGTTTGACATGGATTACCTTGTGTTGGTTTGCCAGAGAGCGCTTCTGTTGTTCTCACCTGACAGATAATATCTGCTGTTTTCACCTGAGAGCGATTCTGTTGTTTTCACCTGAAAGCAGTTCTCAGGGTTGGCGCTGACAGGCACGAGCTTCCAGGTGGGGAAGATGTATGAGAGGCAGGTGAGGACGAAGATGACAGGCGCAGGGGGGGTGAGCTCCTTGGAAATCTGGGAGAGGGGGGGGGGAGGGAAAAGCGGGGGAAGATAAAAGGGGGGAGATGTATGAGAGGCAGGTGAGCACGATGACAGGCGCAGAGGTGATGAGCTTCTGAGAAATCTGGGGAGATGGGAAGAGCCGTGGGGGGGGGTAGGACGAATGAGGGAGAGAGAGACATCAAGCGGGGAAGATGTATGCGAGGCAGGTGAGGACGAAGATGACAGCCGCAGGGGGGGTAAGTTCTTGAGACATCTGGGGGGCGTGGGGCGGGGGGAAAGGGTGGGGGGGGTTGGAGTGGAGTGGGGTGGGGAGGACGTAGGAGAGAGTGGAAGGGTGAAAGATCTATGAGAGGCAGGTGAGGACGGAGATGACAGGCGCAGGGAGGGTAAGTTCTTGAGACATCTGGGGAGATGAGAGGGGGTAGGGGAGAGAGGTAAGGGGGAGGATTAGCTGCTGGGAGGATTAGCTGCTGAGAAAGCTGGATCTGGGGGACGGCGGGACTTTTGAGTCGACTCAAAAGTCACCTAGGGGAGAGAGGTAAGAGGGGGGATTAGCTGCTGAGAGGATTAGCTGCTGAGAGGATTAGCTGCTGGGAGGATTAGCTGTTGAGAAAGCTGGATCTGGGGGACGGCGGGAAGATGTAGAAGCGGTAGGTGAGGATGCAGATGACAGGGGAGGATTAGCTGCACAGGGGAGGTCAGTTCTTGAAACATCAGGGAGGGGAAGGGAGAGAGTGGAGTGGTCGCAAGAGATTTTTGAGTCGACTCAAAAATCACCTGGGGAAGGGAGAGAGTGGAGTGGTCGCAAGAGGGAGTGAGAGAAGGATTATTCGCAAGAGGGACCAGGACGCATCAGCTCAGGTGATACCTGGAAGGTGTATTTTGAGTCGACTCAAAATACGAGTGGAGTGGTGGCAAGAGGGAGTAAGAGAAGGATTATTACGGGAGCAGGATTATTAAGGACGCATCAGCTCAGGTGATACCTGGGAGGGGGCAAGAGAGATAAAAGGGGGTAGGGGCTACTAGAATGCCTAAACGTTCTCTCCGCCACAAGTTTAGTCAATACACTACAGGGTGACTTTTTTTTAGGCGCTTAAAAAATAGTCACTACACTACAGGGTGACTATTTTTAGGTGCCTCAAAAACAGTCACTACACTTCAGGGTGACTTTTTTTTAGGCGCCTCAAAAATAGTCACTACACTACAGGGTGACTTTTGAGTCCACACAAAAGTTTCGTCACAACACTGCAGGGTATTTTTTACAATTCTAAAATACACCCTACACTACAGGGTGTCAGATAGAACTACACCAGACGTTACTAGCCTTACACATGGGGCCCATTCTAACCGCTCCATTCATTCCAGGGCGTGGGGTCCTGCCTTGCCACCTGAATCGCCATGGATTCTCTTCTTTACTCCCTGTTTTGCACTACACTGCATTGCACTAGACTACATCGCACAGAACTCGTCTAACCTTACACATGGGAGCCACCAGCACTGCTCCTCTCCAAGGGGTGGGGTGAGCTCCTCCCATGGATGACTCTACATACACCACTTTGCACCACACTTCACCGCACTACACTGCTGTGTGTAAGAGACTTTAATGACCTTACATATGGGAGGAACCAGCACTGCTCCGTTCCAAGAAATAGGTCTCTCCAAGCAACCAGAATCGCAATGGCTGCTCCCATGGGCTTGGCATAGAGTCCTTCTGCACCACACCACATTGCATTGCACTGCACTACACCGCACTAAACTGCCTCGTACCGTACCAGACCCTACTGACCTTACACATGGGTGCCACCAGCACTGCTCCGTTCCAAGGCGTGGCGTCCCTCCTAGGTACTTGAATCGCCTGGCCCCTCCCATGGAATTCACATACCGCGCTTCTGCACCACCACTCACCACACTACGCCGCACTACACTGCTGTGCAACAGACTCTACTGACTCACACTTGGGTCGCTCTTTGCTATCTGAATCGCCAAGCCCTTCCTCACTGACTTGCCGAGCGAATTTCACCACAGTGCACCACACTAAACCACACCAAACTGCACCAGAATCGACTGACCTTACACATGGGGGCCACTAAAACAGCTCCGCTCCAAAGGTTGGGGTTGCTCCTTGCTATCTGAATCGCCATGCCCTTCCTCACTGACTTGCCGAGCGAATTTCACCACAGTGCACCACACTAAACCACACCAAACTGCACCAGAATCGACTGACCTTACACATGGGGGCCACTAAAACAGCTCCGCTCCAAAGGGTGGGGTTGCTCCTTGCTATCTGAATCGCCATGCCCTTCATCACACTAAAACAGCTCCGCTCCACTGCATGGGATCCCTCCTTGCCACTTGAATCGCCATTTCCCCCCCCCCCCCCAAGGCTCCCTGAACCGCACTGCACTGCACTGCACCGCACTACTAACCTTACACATGGGAGCGAGCAACCAGCACGGCTCCGCTCCAACGGGTGGGGTCCCTCACCGACACTTGAATCGCCATGGCCCCTCCCATTTGACGCCACATGCCGCACGTCTGCACCACACTTCACCGCACTCCACTGCACCACACCAAGTTCTACTAACCTTACACATGGGCGCAACCAAAACTGCTCCGTTCCAGGGAGTGGGGTCCCTCCTGGAAACTTGAATCGCCATGGCCCCTCCCAGAGACTCGCCATAGAGGAAAAACGGCAGGTGAGAGAACCTGGGATTGGCTGGGGAGGGGAGTTAGAGGGGTGCGATGTGGACAAAGTGGCTCTCTTTGAGTCAATTCAATGGCACTTGAATCTCCATGGCCCCCCCAAGGGCTCGCCATAGAGGAAAAACGGCAGGTGAGAGAACCTGGATTGGCTGGGGGTACCAGAGTGGAGGGAGGTCGGAATTGGGGGAGGGAGGCATTGAGGGAGGGTGGAATTGAGGGAGTGTGGAATTGGGGAATGGGATTTGGGAAGGTGGCATCTTAAATCAACTCAAAGTCACTAGAAGGGCCATTGCCCCTCCCATAGACTCGCCATTGCCGCTCCCATGGACTGGCCATCATAGAGGAATAGCGCCTCGGGTTGGCTGGGGGGGCATTAGGAGGGTGGGATGCGGGCTGGTTGGCATAAGAAGAAAGGATATTTTTGGGTCAACGCCAGTTCACATGCCATGGCCGCAAATGCCCTCCCCTCCTCTTCTCCCAGCACACTCTAATCATTCTGTGCGTATATCGCCCCACCCACCCACACCACACCAGACCACACCTCACCTCTCCTTCTTGCCTCTCCTCATGGCAAAGGTTTCCCCTGCCGACTCACCTCTCAGCCGGTTTCGCGAACTCAATCACTTAGTCCGCCAGGCGAGGGAGGCAATGCAGTCACGCCACTTCCCCTGCACTCCCCGCTCCGTTCTCCCCTCTCACCTCTCTTTTCCGTGCCGGCTCACCTCTCTAGCCGATTCGCAAACGCAGGCGAGGGAAGCAATGCAGAGGTGACCTCACCTCACCTCACCCAGCTTCCCCTCCGCTCTCCACTCCGTTCTCACCAATTGAACACCAGATAGGTGCCATTGTGTCAATACGTGGCAGCAACTTGTGGGATGACACCTGTGTAAAATGTAGATTGTAGAAAGCGAGGGAAGCAACGCAGAGGTGACCACACCTCACCTCACCCAACTTCCCCTCCACTCACCACTCCGTTCTCACCTCTCACCTCCCTTTCCCCCGCCGGCTCACCTCACAACCGGTTGCGAACTCAACGACGTCATGTGCGAGGCGCCTCAAAAGATGGGGATACAGGCAATAACATCTCTTGAGGCGCCTCAAAAGATGGGGATACAGGCAATAACATCTCTTGAGGCGCCTCAAAAGATGGGGATACAGGCAATAACATCTCTTGAGGCGCCTCAAAAGATGGGGATACAGGCAATAACATCTCTTGAGGCGCCTCAAAAGATGGGGATACAGGCAATAACATCTCTTGAGGCGCCTCAAAAGATGGGGATACAGGCAATAACATCTCTTGAGGCGCCTCAAAAGATGGGGATACAGGCAATAACATCTCTTGAGGCGCCTCAAAAGATGGGGATACAGGCAATAACATCTCTTGAGGCGCCTCAAAAGATGGGGATACAGGCAATAACATCTCTTGAGGCGCCTCAAAAGATGGGGATACAGGCAATAACATCTCTTGAGGCGCCTCAAAAGATGGGGATACAGGCAATAACATCTAGACTCGTCTCTATTGTATCACCCGTTCGACCCACACACCCACCTCGTAGCTGGTTGGCGAACGCAATGACGTCTTCCAGATGCAAGCACAGCAGGGGAGGCTGGGAATGTACCCGTGGGGAGCAGCTACGGGGCCAGCAGGCATGCCACATCGCCGCCTGACTCTGCCTCGACCCGATTCACCAGCTAAGTAACAACCCACACCCTCGAAAACAAATCCACAATGCACTGCTGCTCTTCCCAAGACCATGAGTGACGACGGCCAGCAGGCATGCCACATCGCCGCCTGACTCTGCCTCGACCCGATTCACCAGCCATCCATGCTGCACCCAATACCCACCTCGCAGCCGGTTGGCCAACTCAATCACGTCATCTGAGTGAACACCACTTGGGTGCCATAGGTCTGGGTGAACACCACGTGGCAGAAACTTTGAAAAACCCACCTCGCAGCCGGTTGGCAAACTCGATCACGTCATCTGCCAAGCGAGTGAAGCTGGGGATGTACCCGTGGCGACCAGCTGAGAGCCCGTGCCCCTCATAGTCCACACCTACTAAGGCGTAGCCTGCTGCTGCCAGCATCACCGCCACGTCTGGGAAGAGGAGAAGGGCGAGAGGGGACAGCGGGAAGAAGGGGGGTTTGTTACATGGAAGGATGTACCCGTGGCGACCTGCTGACAGCCCGTGCCCTTCATAGTCCACGCCTACGAAGGCATAGCCTGCTGCTGCCAGCATCACCGCCACATCTGAGACACATGCGGGGGAAGGGGAGGTGCATGAAGACTGTATGTGTTGTGACCCGCTAAGAGCATGTGCCCTTCATAATCCACGCCTGATAACGCATTGCCTGCTGCTGCTGACATCACCGCCACGTATGATGGGAAGGACGAGAGGGGAGCGATTGGGGCAGAAGGGCGAGGGGGGACAGAGGGGAGGGGGGAGGTGCATGAAGGGTGCCTTGAAGGGGGAGGTGCATGAAGAGTGCATGTAGACAGGCCGTGACTTGACCCCTGTAATCCAGGCCCACTAGAGCATAGCCTGCTGCTTCTGCTGCCAGCATCACCGCAACACAGCCCACGCTTACTGCTAACACAGCCTGCTGCTGCTAACATTGCCGCAAAATCTGATGGGAGAAGAGAGAAAGGGAGTGTCAGTGATGCTGTCAAACTCTCCTTTTGAGTCGACTCAAAATCAAAATCAAAATGTCAGTCGACTCAAAATCAAACTCTCAGCACTGCTGACACAGTGTCTCGCAGCATGCCTCACAACATCATACCTTCGAAGATTTACGTGCACGTCTCCCCGTACCCATGCCAGAACAGCACCACGCCTCTCAGTCGCTTGACCCTGTCTTTGCTTATAGCCCATACCCATGCCCCACATCCCACACCCATACGACCCATACCTTCGAAGATGTACGTGCACGTCTCCCCGTACCCATGGCAGAACAGCACCACTCCTCTCAACCGCCCATCACTGGGCAGCCATTCCTTGGTGAACAGCTCTACCCCGCGCGAGTTGATGAAGTACTCCTCACTGGACGCCACGCCGTGTGCCGCCTGGGAGGGGGGAGAGAATGTGGGGAGATATTGACTTTGTGAACAGCTCTGCGCATCTCAGCCGTCCATCACTGGGGCAGCCATTCCTTGGTGAACAGCTCCACACCGCGCGAGCTGATGAATCATTCCTCACTGGACGCCATGCCGTGTGCCGCCTGGGAGCGGGGGAGAGGAGAGCACATGGGGAGAGCCGGGTGAGATTGAGGCAGAAACAACCATTCCGCGAGTTGATTAAGTATTCTTCACTGGACGCCACGCCGTGTGCCGCCTGGGAGCGGGGAGAGCATGTGGGTAGGGCAGGGAGACGTTGAGGCAGAGACAGAGGCAGCCACTCCTTAGTGAAATAAATCAGAGGCAGCCACTTCCCGCGAGTTGATGAAATAATCTTCACTGGACGCCACCCCGTGTGCAGCTTGGAAGAAGGGGGATCAGATACAGAGACAGCGGCACACGCAGCCTCAAAGCTAGACTCCTATCACGCTGGACTGGGAGACGGAGGAACGGACGGAGACGGCGGTCGGACGGGCGGACGGGCGGACGGGCGGACGGGCGGACGGGCGGACGGCTCGCATATGCCTCTTGTGCGACCGTCGTGCTTTCCGCCTACGGGGAACCCATTCCAGATTCAGCGTTCGTCAAATACTCGCTATTGAGGGTCTCTCAAGAGTAACTCACGTAGAACGAAGGAGGCTTCTTGTGCGGCTGCCGTGCCTTGCGCCTGCCGGCCTCCCATTCCAGACTCAGCGCCTTTCGCGGACGAGCTAGCCGCTTAGCTACGTAGAAGACGACTCCTCCTAGAATCACGGCGGGAAACACGGGGCCCCACATGGTAAGTAGTAGCTTCTACAGCCTCCTGTTTCCTGAGTCTAGAAGGTTCTTGCTTTGGAATTCGTGGTTCTGTACTTTTTGATCATTATGAACGCGGCAAAGTGCTTCTCATTAGAATCGATTTGGTCTGACTTACAGCTGTGCTGCATATACAAATTTCAACTAAGTTTGAACTTCACAAGCAAGTTCGTGAAATTAAACTGGCTCATACATGTCATAATTAAACATTTGTTTTATATAACTGTTTCTGTTTCCTTTGAATTTTATAATGATGTTAATTTACATAAGCTTCATATTTGAAAGCAAATTGACACGGGATGCACGACACTTTCCATACGCGTTACTAGGCCGTTTTCACCACTGGCGGGACAATCACTAGGAGGACCTCAATAGGCAGGCGCGAATTCCCCCCCCTGGGATTTCCGACAAATTTCTTCCTAAGGAATTCCGTCAACTTTTCCGTCTATAGTAGACTGACGTCAATTTGCTTCCCGGCGCCTCTGCTCAATGTCTTAGACGCACCCTATTCGGACATCAAATCACCGCTGGTTCTAGGCACCTGGGGGAGCGGCCTCATCGGTGGGGGGATTTCTCCCATGGCTGCATCGGTCTCCCTTTCTCTCGGTTCCGTTTCGATCGTGCCCTTCTCGGGCCGTAGCACGGCTAGTAACCGTTTCCCCCTACCTCCGCCCTTCTCGGGCCGTACCACGGCTAGTAACCGTTTCCCCCCACCTCCGCTCTTCACGCGCCGCAGTGCGGTTAGTAGCCGTAGTACGTGGCCGCTGCCACGTGGTTTGTGCCTAAGACCACGTGGCGTACGGCTAAGAGCTCAACCCGATTCTTCTGACGACAGCGGTGGCGCAAACGCCCATCGCGTCTTCCCACATTCACCTTCCGCCAGCTCCTCCCCTTCCCCTCCCCCGTCCCCATCCCCGTCCCCCGCTCCTCCCCCATCTTCCCCCACTCCGCTCCCCCAATCTCCCCCCCCCTCCCCCCCTCCGCTCCCCTCCTTCCAAGACGGCATAACCTGGTTCTGCCTGTCTTTAATCGGCTTAATAGCTCTTATAGACCTCTCCCCGCTAGGCCCTATTCTCCGCTCCGCCCCTCCGCAATCCGTGCCCGCCCTACTCGCGCTCGTGCAGTGGCTCTTCTTCGTCCTTCCCGCGCTCTCCTGGTGCCGCGACCGCGGATTCCCCCTCCGCGCAACCCTCAAGCTGCAGCTTCCGCCGGGGGAGGGGGTGGGGGAGGGGAGGGGCCTGGGGTAGGGGATGGGGGCGAGCTGGCGAGCGGGGAGGCAAGGGGGATGGGGAGGGGGAGGGGTTAGCGGGGAATGGGAGCTGGTGGAAGGCAGTTGCGGCAGGGGCAGTGGGGGGTCCGATTTTATGGGCACTACTGTTCTCTCTAGTGTCACTCAAGGCCGGTGCTGGGGGTGATGGGACACTAGAGTTAGCCGAAATAGCAGCAGCAACGGCAGGAGGTGATAGTGTGAGTGCTGCAGGCCTATTGCTGGGCCCTGTTTTGCTGCCGGATGGAGCAGGGGGGAGCTTAACTGCTACAGCTGCCACGGCTGTGTCTGCCCTCCCCCTGCTGGACGTGCTACAGCTGTTCCTGTGGGTGGCAGTGTCGCCGGCTGTAGCAGAGGAGCTGCTCTTCAGAGGACTGCTGCTCACGGCCCTGCAAGACAGGCTCGGCAGGTGAGAGGTTTGGTAGCTGAAGCTGTACGAATGAGGTTTGGCAAGATTCCAGACCCTCTGTCTTGCAAACAGTGCTTGCTAGATTTCTCGCACTCGTCGCCCCATTTCCCGTCTCGTAGAGAACATAGCGTTTCTTAACTCAGAGCACTAGTCCCTTGAATTCATCTCTGTCCTACCACCACCTTCCCCCCTTCTTTCCCCCACTTCCCCTGCCTCCCTCAGAATCGACGCTGCCATGCTATCTGCGGCCCTCTTCGCCCTCTTCCACCTCTCCCTCTCCCTCTTCTTCCCAAACATGGCCCTTGGGATTGCCGCTGGCCTGCTTGCCGTCTACTCCAATAGCGTGCTGCCAGCTGTCGCCCTGCACACCACTTACAATGCATCTGCCCTTCTCTATGCACTCATGGCTACGGCTGCTGCTTCTGTATAGCAAGGAAGGGTTGTTGCCACCTTCAGTTTAGTGCATTCCTATTAACACGTGTATGCATGAAATTTAACACGCACATAAGCCATCGCATAGCCTCAAATGCTTGCTGAGATTGATATTCTTCACGTTTCTATTTTGCCTAGGCGAAATGGTCTAGAATTACCTTACTGTAGAACGGAGATGGAGCCTGTTACCTGTCGCAAGTTTCGTGTCGCATTCTCGAATCACGATCCGCAAAATGCACCAGGCGTGGTTTCGTGAACAAGTCCCTGAACCATCAACCTCGAGAAAATCCCAGGGGGGAAACTTTCAAGGCGAATCTCCCGAAGTGGAACTCCCGAGGTGTCAACCTCATCCACACCAGTGCAGGAGAGATCCAGAATTCGTTGTGGTTCAAGTCGCTTGCTCCAACCAGGGCATTGGAGCATCCGTTTGCTCCAACCCCCTGGATACTACCGGGGCCGTTGTGTATTACACCTGGATTGAACATGAATCAGGTCGCTGATCGTTCTCGTATTTTAATTCCATGCCGCCGTTTGATTTATTTCGGATCGCTCTTCAACCTTAGACTGACGTCTATTAGGAGCAAGGACGGACGAGTAATTGTTCGCCCCATACTCAACGAAGAAGGTGAACGGTTCTTAGATTTCCCGAGGGTCCGAAACCGACAAGCCACCCGAGCTCTCTAGGTAGTCGCGAACTATCGGCCTGGATTTTATATATCCCTCGGGTCCCTCTGCTGTTCGCCATGGCGTGTGTTATTCCTTCATCATCATGGCCATTAGGCGCGTCGATTTGCAGCGTAGACTACACGCAGACCTTTTACGTGCCTCCTTGCGAGTCACTCTATAAGAATCATGCTAGGAATCCGTTCAGATATGCTTTTCCTGCATGGCCAAGCCCTTACCAGCTCGGATTTGGCCCCCTGACCCAACCTGCACGACGAGCATTCGTCAGGATTCGAACCCGTGATCGGAGCCTCGCAATCAGGTGTGACGCTGGGAAGTCTTCCACGCCAGCCGAAGCTCCAGAGGAAGAATTCGCGGATTTTGGATTTGAACCAAATTTCGGGAGCAAGCCAGCGCTGACGGTGGGGAAGGAGGCTGAGAATCGACGAATGGGGGACGAGGAGGAGAGGAGAGCAGGGAAAGGGAAGGGAGTTAGTGAGGGTAGCGGAAGGGGGAGTAAAAAGGGGGAAGGGTGCGAGGAGGAGGAGGAGGCAGTGGCAGTGATTGCTGGAGTGCTGATGGAGAAATTCGGGCCTCAGATTGTGAGAGAGGAGTTGGAGGAGGGAGGTGGAAACGGAAGAAATGAGAGCCACGAGGATGTGAAGAGAGCGAAAGCGAAAGGCGAGGAAGAGGGAGTGGACAAAGAAGCAGAGGAAGCAGACGCAGAAGCGAGTGCGGAGGACTCACCAGCCGCCACATCTCGTCCCACGCGTGTTGTTTCTCCCGCTTCCCTCCTCTCCCTCTACCGCTTCTTCTCCTCCCACCTCGGCATCTCCTCCCCTTCCACTGTCGCTTCCATCCTTGCCTCCTGTCCTGCAATCCTCCGGTCCGATCCCATCACGGACCTCCTCACACATGTCCACCTACTCCAATCCTACGGCATATCCCATGCCGACATCGTCCACATCACTCTAAAAAACCCAGGCTGGCTCCGGACCTCCCTCGCACAAATTCAGGATACGCTCGAATTTCTCTTGGCTCGGGGCGTCCGCAGAAGCAGGTTGGGCTTTCTGCTTAGACGTGGACGAGGCTTAATCTGCAGGCAGGCACATTCAATGAACCTGGACATTCTGGTGGAGAGAGCAGGGGTTCCTGTGGACAAGCTGGGTGTCGTTCTAGAGAAATTCCCGAATATTTTGAGCTGGAGCAAAGAGTCATTAATGTTTCAGCTCGAGCAATTGTCAGTCTATTTTACGAAGGGATGTGGGGGAGAAGGTGAAGGAGCTAGCACCAGCACCGGGCACGTGAAGCAGCACCTGGATAATAGGCATCTTACCCAGCTTATCCTGAGGTTTCCGTCCATCCTGGACTGTTCTCCCCACAGCATCTCTGAAAAGCTCGCCATCCTCCAGTCCTTCACCCCCCCAGGTACTCCCTCAATCGCAAGCCCTGTTCTCCGCCTTGCCCCCACCATACTCATGTTAAGCTCAGAAACTCTCTTAGCTAAGCTCCAGTTCTTTGTGGCGCTGGTGGGAAAGGAGGCAGCCGGGAGGGTGGTGCGGAGCCAACCGCAGATGCTTGCTCGGTCGATTGAGAATCTGCAAGGCAAGATGGCAGTTTTGACTGGTCTGGTCGGGCAAGAGAATGCTGTGCGTGCAGTGGCACAGTTCCCGTTGTTGCTGACTTCCAGTGAGGAAACGTTGAAGGAGAGTTTTGAAGAGCTAGTTACGGAAGTGAAAGAGGCATTCGAAGGAGGCGGAAGAGATGGAAGCGGGAGTGGGCAATTGGACGGAGGTGAGGTGTGGGAAACTGAGCCTTGGGCTCAAAGCAGAGCCGACCAAGGCTGGGATGAAATCCGAGCTTGTCAGTTGGTGGTGAATCTGGTGCTTAACTACCCTCCATCCATCTCTCTTAGCTGGAAAGGGAACCTGAGGCACAAGGTGGAGTACTTAAAGCAGGACATGGGGCTCTCTATAATGGAGATGCTCGCATTTCCCCAGTTCCTTGGTTACAGTTTGGATGGGCGAATCAGACCACGACATGTGGTACTGCTGAGCATGGGCTATGTGGTTGCTCCACATGCGCTAGTTGGTCAGAAGATGAGTAGAGGAGATGGGAGAGGGGGCTTTCTTGGAGCTGAGGGGGAGGGGAGGGAGCCAGATCATGGGAAACTGCAGGAGGTGGGGGAGATGGTGGTGTGCTTGCAGCAGTTCCTGCACTGTACAGAGAAGAAGTTTCAGGAGAAATACAAGGTCAA